ACAGCAGCATAATGTTCCTTAGTCTAGCTCTCTCTTCCCTCAGTCCCAAGTCTAGCCGTGTAACCAAATGATTCTGTGTTTCACACCAGAGCTAATAGGTGTGATGACGGAGTACAAGCTGGTGGTGGTGGGAGCTGGAGGTGTAGGCAAGAGTGCACTGACGATACAGCTCATTCAGAACCACTTTGTGGATGAGTATGACCCCACCATTGAGGTAAGTCTAACCTTTATCGGTGCGCAATCTTTTTAACAAATTGTAACAGCGATGGATGTACACAACTCTTTGAATGGTGAACTGTCATTAGATTACAGCAAGGATCCCTAAATCTCTTTTAACGTTGTCACGTTCAACTGGGGGTCACTGAAAAAGGGTTGAGAACCTCGATAGTAATATACAAGTGTGATGGGATGGGACAGGACTCGTACAGAAAGCAGGTGGTGATCGATGGCGAGACGTGCCTACTGGACATCCTGGATACAGCAGGCCAGGAGGAGTACAGCGCCATGCGGGACCAGTACATGAGAACTGGGGAGGGCTTCCTCTGTGTCTTCGCCATCAACAACAGCAAGTCCTTTGCTGACGTGCACCTCTACAGGTAAGGATGCAGTGCTTTTCTGAAGTCCACTGCTAATTTGGACATGGGTTTGAATTCACTGTAGACTAGGAACTCGACTAGGTAGAGTTCTCTGCTATGTAGTTTGTAGTAAATTTTTTTTTTTGCTGATTTTTCCTCATAATTGTCATGTTTAGCACAGTTGTAGGTCTTATTTCTGAGTGACATTAAGTGGGTGTTTTGGCCAGATTTATGGAAAGATTAGCAATATTTAACAATCAAAATAAAACGAATCAAACATTGGTCCAGTATATATGTGGTTCATAATTTAGAGGGAGACTTCTTGAAATTGGCAATGGGAGTGACATGGGGAGTTGCTGTCTGGTTTCACAGTGGCAAGTCAGTCAAAGTTCTGAGTGATTAACCTTGACTGTGAGCTTCACCAGTCACTAATTAATTGTTTAATTGTTTATGAGGCATTATGCACCTCTGTGGGTTAGGGATGTGTGTCCATGTCTGCAAGGTAGTGGGTTTGAATCCTCTAACCAGCAGAGTAGTCATGTTGTTGTTAGGCCCTTGAGCAAGGACCTGATCATCTACTGCCGCATGATGCTGGGCCCTGGCTGACTTGATGCTCTGACCCCAAACTTTCTCTCACCTGTATATAGGATCACTCAATTATGGCAAAAATCACAATCACAGGTATAAAGTTCAGTATTTTGAGATGACGATGAACATGATCACTCATTGGCTTTGGAAATATCATGCATTTATTGAACTTTTAAACTTTTTTTAAACTGTGCAGTGTTTCCCCTAGGTTTACAGCTTGGGGGGGGGGGGGGGGGGGGTTTGACAGACTCCGACAGGATTCATGGTGTTCATGTGTTTCTTTTAATGACCGCAGTGGCAATTCGACCCATAATATACTGTGGTTATAGCGAGTGTGACGTCAGCTGACAAAGTCCGATTGCGGATGTTTGTCTTGACCTTCAAATACATTTCTTAAAATAGTGATAATTGATAGTTTAAAGCAGAAAATCCCATTGTGAAACGTTTTTATTACCCTGCTTTTCAAGTGGTTGACGCGACATATTTTCCGATGTGCGCTCTCTGTCCGCTGGTGGTAGTGTGCTCACCTGTGTATGCGCGCGCGTGTCTGTGTGCGCGAATCGGGACGGAACTCCGCCACGCTGTTGTGTAAATAAGATAAATAACATAAGGCTATTTAGTTTGTTTAATAAAAGGACAATGTATATACCTGTTCTATAGGAAAGGTAACCTTAAATGGCTTCTGTTGTGATCTGGCGCTATATAGAAAATAAAATTAACTTGACCTTCAAGAGGGGGCAGGAGGTGCCCCTAATATAATGGTAGGGGAAACATTGCTGTGGATTTCCTTGAACTATTAATATAATTCAGTAGGGGCTGGAAAGGGGTGCACTGGATTTATCACAAGACATAATTGGAGCATCACTGCGAAACAAAATGCTGTGTAATGATCATTTTATCTCAGTTATTTTATTTTGATAAGATTCAAGAGGTTTATTCGTTATATACACAGTCGTACACATGCAACATGTAGCGAAATGTAACCTTGGTCACTCCAAGCAGCTGTGCATAATAAGAGAATAATAAAATATAAAGATAACAATATAAAATAAAAAATATATGAAATATATTCAGCTGTACATAGTCTATACATAAATGATAATTGTTGGAAGCCAACATCATAATTGAAATTTCAAAATTCAATCAATTGCCCAGCCGTATGTGTATGTGCCTCTCAAGGAGAGCAAGATGTACGAAAACTACTCACATTTCACCATGTGGATCAATAAAGTACTGTCTGTTGTATTCTATGAATGAAGTATAATTGTATGAAGAGATTTCAATAATAAACAACATAGACCTGTAGAGTATACCCATAAATTAATGTGATTAGTGTTTTATATGGTTATTAAGGTTAGATGGAAGGAAAATTTGCATACAACAAGCTGACTGTCGACTCAGAGAAGTTTATCCTTTGCACTTTACTTTGTAGCCAATGGGCTTCTCTCCATATTCTCTATGTCCCTTAGGGAGCAGATCAAACGGGTTAAAGACTCTGATGATGTTCCCATGGTGCTGGTGGGTAACAAGTGTGACCTGGCTCGAACTGTAGACACCAAGCAGGCCCAGGAACTGGCACGCAGCTATGGGATTGAGTTTGTGGAGACCTCTGCCAAAACTAGACAGGTAGGTCGCAAAGCATGAGTACTGGCTGTCTGGTCCTCACTCATGGGGGGTACGGCAGAGGAGCTATGGGCACATCTGATAAACGTCTGACATTTACGTACTGAAAGTGCAAAACAAAGAATGTATCTACTGAGATCCTTCAGTAAGAAACTTAACATGAAGAATGAAAAGTTAATTCTGTAAAGGTTGAACTGATTTTTTAGAATTGTATTCATGCAATGTGTCAATTTGTACAATATGTCAGTGTCATGTCACCCACAGGGAGTAGAAGATGCATTTTACACGCTGGTCCGGGAGATCCGACACTACCGCATGATGAAACTCAACAGCAGAGAAGACAGGAACCAGGGCTGTCTTGGCCATTCCTGTGCGGTCATGTAACCTCCCAAGGTCAGAGATTTTAGAAAAAATAAGTACATGTATGGCTTTGGAAAGGTGGCTGGTTAAGTAACAGCAACAGTGACAGCAGACCATGATAACTTGTACCTAGGTGCAGGGATTTGGACATTTCTGCTTTTAGTATTTGGTGCTGACTAGTTCTCTCTTGCTGTTTCCCCAGGGCTGTCTCCTGTGTAGCCACTCACTGGCCAGTCTGCTCACTGTGGAGTTTTGGGGCCGGTCTGTGGTCCTTGCTGGCTTACAGACAAGCGGCGTTTGCCTAACCCAACAGCCCCTTTCTCCCCTATAAACTCCTACCAGTAGCAGAATGCTCTCCCGTCCTACCCCATCCCACAAAATGGTTTTGTCTGCATTTTTACACTCTATTAAGGACTATCTCATGAATGCAGCACTGTATCATACCATACTTTGCATTTGATTGGAAATGGGGAGGGGGGGGGGTGTGGGTGGCCATTCAGTGGCTTTTGGCTTTTGGCTTTTTAATGAGCTGTTGCTCCAGAGACAGGGCATGGGGGCTGAATCTAAGAAGGGTTGTTGGTTCTTGTTTTGAGCATTCCTGACTGTAGATGAATGGTCTTGTTTTTTTTGTTTTATGGTCAGTATATCCCCTCAATCCCTCACCTGCAATGGATTTACTCGCACTCAGAAAGCAGAGAGCAACATCTGTTGCTTATAACTGTTTTTATTTTTCTTTATTTTGTTTAATTTTGTTTTGGAAAATGTAATTTATCTTTATTTTTACATAGTCAAAAACCGTATGACAGAGAAGGGAGAGAATTCCCTAGGTTTATTATTATTATTATTATTATTATTATTATTATTATTATTTCAATGCAGGTATAGATGAATGAGCTCAATGAGATTTATGTCAGTAGTGTCCCCCTTGGTTTCACCCTACCTTACCTTACTGCTGCCAGAGAACAAACTTGGTATCTCACTTGTCAGTGTATGTGCAAGCTATGCCTTTTGCCTTGCTGCATGTGCACTTTCTCCAGAGCTACCGTGGCCAAATGGAAGACTTGGACTTGCTTCTGTGGGGGGGGGGGAGGGTTTGGGAGATGTACAGCCAACACTTCTCACACCTAATGCCATTTTCAGCTGTCTCTCTCATTTTAAGTCCTTAACATTTCCCTGTGCTAAACAACCAGTTAGGCTTATGCCTGAAACCAAATCGGAAAGCCAGTGTTACAGGAGTAATGTGAATGGTTTTATGTCTAGGTGTCAAACTGTGATAATTTGCAAGGGAATTATTTTTTAAATACATTTATGAATAAGGGAGCACTTGTACGTTTGAGTGCTTTACCACACAGGACTTTTGTAATTTCTTTCTGTAATCATCTTACTGGAGGCTTTTCATTTTCTTTGAGCCTTCTGTTAAATTTCTTTGTCTCTAATGCAGTGTCTACTGTACTTTGTTTTTTTTATTTTTTATCTACTGATAGACTACACCAGATCGACTGTTTTAAGTTTTTCTTCATCTCTGCTTTTTGTTTGGAGGGTTTATTAATCTTTACAATTTTTGTTTGTCATTTTGACATCTATGAGGTGCAAAATAAATGCTAAACTAATGCAGGTTCTTTAATAAATTACATATGCCTGTCTCTCTTTTTTTTTTTTTCCCCTCCCATAAGTCTTACGTTGTTATAGTGGCTTAGAGCAGGTTGAGGTAAAGAACGTGTTCTTCAGCCTCCTGTCTTCTGGCCCCTTTATACACATAGGAAGGAACTGGATACCATTTGAAAACCTAAAATAGAGCAGCGCCCATCCTGTCACTAACACACTTGTCAGTCACGGGTGCCAGGCTCTGATTACGCGTGTGTGTGTGTGTGTGTAAAGTCGGTTTAAACAGCAGTGAGCTGCACCAGCACACACTTCCATGTTGTCCGTCGTACCAGTTCAGCCTGTCACGGAGAAAGCGTCCCATCTGCACTCCTCGGTAGAACATGCCCCGAGTCAAAATGTCAGGTGAGTGTCTGAGACAGAAGAATGACAGGCGATTCTGCTGTTGTGGGGTCCCAGTGCCATTTGAACATTGTCCAGTTTTAAGAATGACTTGGAGTAAGCCGCAGTTCAAGTTCTTATGCTGTCTGATAGATTAGTGCATTTCATTTGCATAAAACGTGAGTTTCATGGAAGAACCTTTGCTGGCCCCCTTCTGTGTAGTAATGGGTGTTTCCTATGCAAATAGAAATGCAAGCAGATATGAACTATTAAAGTTTCCACATAATATTTCAGTGTTTATGATTTTTCAAATAACATAAAAAACACACACAAAAGTAGTGGTGGAGGTATGATACCTGATCTTATATTCAATATCAATGGAACAAAGAAGAATACAAACCATGATCCTACAGAAGGTGATCTTCTGAACACTTTTGTGGATCAACTGGATTTGTTTGTCAGCTGTTTGCTTTACTCCAATGCCACAAAGGATTTCTGTGAAGATATATATATATATATAGACACACGCAGATTTTCTATTAGGATTGGGCAGCCATTGCCTTTGAGCCGTGAGTGTTAGATGACTCATGTTTACATCTGCTGTTCTTTCAGTGCTACGTCAAAGCTAACATTACTAAGACTGATACCTGTGGAACGCTGTGCTTATAGAACAGAGAGAAAGGGGAAGTTGCTATTTTGGTTAGATTCTGAAGGAATTGTGTTCTCAAGGTATAGGAAAACGATCTTATTTTGGATGTGAAATTTTTTTAGGACTATGAAATGTGTCTTTTATGGTGTAATTTAGATGGATAGTGTTAAGTGGTGGAGCCTGAAGCCCACAAACATCAGCAAATTCTCTGAGATCAAGTGTCTGAGATCCAGGCCTTCTGGGATATATGTCTCCACTTGAAATTGAGCTGCGGTTTGCATAGTGAAGATAAAGTTGTGGGAAAAGAAAATGCCATTTCCCCAAAACCAGTCTGGTTCATACCAGCAGAAAGCTGATAACCTACTGCTTTGCTTTAATATTGATCATTGGCAAAAAAAAAAGAATGTTCAATGAGAAAGTTCCTATTCTGGTGTCTGCCTGCATGATATATGGCATTACTCCAGATAATATATGCCAATGTTCGTAAGAGGCTACAGTTGTAATATTACTGCCATCACAGCTAACCATTTTGCAGTGATTGGCTACTACATGTGATATTGGGGTTAGTGCCCATTGTGTTTTACGCAATATGGGTGGAAGGTTCTCTCACGTTCTTCTCTTACTGAACTATTGCCATTCTAATTGGCTGTGAACAAACTCCTGATGAAGGTGTAATTCTGTAACTATATAGTCAAGACGGTTAATGTTTAATCTCTTTATTGATATCTGGATTATCTAATTTCTTCACTGTTAATAGATAAGTATCCATTCTCCCGGCATCATGGAGTTTCCCAATCATGGGCTTGTATATCCTCTTCAGCTTTTCTGTTTCCCTGTTCTCTTAACCTTTCTCTGGTATTTTGTATTTTAATTTTGCTTCCATCTATCCACTTACCCTAGGATGATGGGCATTTCCTTTTTTAAAATCTAGTATAGAAAGCAATACAATAACACTGAACAATACTAATACTGTAGCAAGAAATACAAAATAATGACTTAAAAATCAGCAGTAGACTACTAGTTAATGTGCTAATGTGTGGAGATGGCAATATATATCAACCGCCTGACAGAATTTGGACTGGGACCAGTTCAGATGTTGGATCATGAAGTGATCGGTACAGGAGTCTCTGAGGAAGATCAAGGGCATAAATCATATTCTCCCTTCCTTTGCTCTTTTTCTGATTGTGTTCTTCTTGGACTTTAGAGAAAACAGAAGCACCAACGAGTAAGTAGAGATGGGACACCTGGAATGTGACTCGAAGACTTTACCTACTTATTCATGTTTACAACCAGTGCAGTTGTGCAGAAAAATCAAACAAAGACAAATAGATAAATGAATAAAAGGCAAAGTCTCTCTTTGGTATGGGTGCTGTGGAGTTTGTCTTGCAAAACAAAATGTGGTCGTCTAGTTTGGACATTCTGTTTGAGACTGATGTGTCTTTGCGACCAATATTGTAGCTGTCTGCTGAATTCTGAATGGTCAGTGGAAAGTGTGAGTCAATATATAAAGTTCTGCCCTGTGGATCAATAGATTACATTTGTTCTGCTGCTAAAGAGCTACTTTGCTGTCTTTTTACTAACCAAAACAAAACTCAAATTTGCTTGCTGGATTGTCGCAAAATGCTTGTGCTTGTTAAATCATCAACAATTATTTGTGAGGGGAGGTTTGCCACATTTCATGAATATGCAATGTAACACAGTTGAATCAGAAATGCTTCTAATGTGTCATGCAGCCATACCTCACTTGGTTCAAGAAATATCACATTACGTTTCTTTATAGCTGCTTTTGCAACGAGAGCAGTTTTCTGGTCTGCTTTTGAGATATGCAATGCTCACAGAAAGTCTTGAGATGCTTGCTTTAATCGAATAAAAATATAGCAATTTTTTTGTCTTATAACAAAAATATTCGTTTACAAAAATACAGCCGCTGAAAAAATTGAGACCATACGACAATTTTTTTTGTTTCGTTAATTTCTTAATTTATGGGTGTGCGTTTGTGAATGATATTTTTTTTTTGCAAACTGCAGCCTGGTTCTCTGTTTCTCATTAATGAAGGGCTGCTTCCTTGTTTTATGAGACTTCAGTCCGGCTTCTAGGAGCCTGATACGAACTGCCAGCAGTGCACATCACACCTGCACTTAATGTTTCCCATTCCTTTTGAAGGTCACTTGATGCCATCCTACGATTCATGAAAAACTGTCGGATAGGTTACTGGTCATCTCCAGTGTTAGAAAGTCGCTTCTGCTCTTTACCTGGCTGGTTTCTGGTCGTTCCCAGTGCCTCCTGCTGCACCTTGCACATGTGTACTGCTGTCTTAGAAATTTTGAACCTGCAAACATCCTGCTGCTCAGTGTAGCCTCTGCCAGCAGAACCAGGATTAAGCCAGGATTTAAAAATGCAGATGTGTTTAAAAATATAGAGTGGTCTCATTTTTTTTTCTGCGGCTGTATATATCGTGTTTGAAACAACCAGTAGCTTCATGTAAACAGTTTCAAGTAGTAATAAACTGAAACCCATATGATAGTTCTAAAAGAGCTATTCTGAGTTAAAAAGTTCATTGACAAGCAGTCTTTCTGGGTCCTTTTTACAGTGACTTGCAAAAGTATTCTTCCCCAGTGAAAGTCATGATGATTGTCTAAAAATATAAATAAAATATATGTTTTATATATAAAATATACACAATTTTCCCAAACAACATTTATGTTGAGATGTGTTTTGCGCAAGTGTTTTTTTTCAAACACCAAAATAAGTCAGTTGTCTACTAACATTAAGAAGAACAAAATAAAAATGTGATAAATGCTGTTTGCATAAGTATACAAACCCCTGTGCTTTGGAAGCTTCAGGTTTACACAAATGACAAATTCATCACAAACGACACAAAGGTGACAGTCATTTGACCATAATTAAACATTATTGGGTACTACTTAGTTCTGATGTCTCTCTCTGGATACAAAAAGTACCTTTGGAAGGGCCATTGTCTTTGTTGGTCAATCACTGCACAAATGAATACAAAGGAGCATTCTGCTGATGTGAGAAACAGTCATTGAAATGCATGAGGAAAGAAATGGCTGCAAAAGATTCTGAAGAATTTAAATGTCCCATTAAGCACTGTTGAAGGTGAATTACTCACCACAGGGAGTCTTGTCAGACTTGATGGGACAATGGATGGACACAAAAACCACACAATATTGCAGGAGAACTTGTTCCAGTCTGCTATGAACCTACGGCTTGGGAGAAGATTCACCTTTCAACATGACGATGACCCTAAGCATAAGGTGACACTGAAATGGCTCAAAAACAGAAAGGTGAATGTTCTGGAACGACCGAGTCAAAGCCCCGATCTTAACCCCATTGAGAATCTGTGGCACTATTTAAACTGGTGTCCAGAGGTGCCGTCCCACCAATTTAGATGATTTCTATAAATTCTGTCAAGAAGAATGACGAAGAATCACTCTTGCTCGACATGCAAAACTGGTATATACTTGCCCCCAAAAGAATTAAGGCTGTTATTGCAGCAAAAGGGTTCCCCAACAAAATATTAATATGTAGGGATTGAATACTTATGCAAACATGAACTAATTAATAAAGATAGTATAGAAATACATAATCTGAAAATCAAGTGGTGTGCATTGTCCCCCTTAGTCTATTGCATGAACAACACTTACTGGACATGTCTGTCTCATTAGGTTTTATAGTTATTAGTCCATTTATTAATCACTTTGAGTGGTTAACTATAAATGAATATAATATATAGATGCCACTGTCCTAAATGTCAACACCTTCGTCATCTTCTCTGGCCACATACCCACGCTGTGTGTGTGTGGGGGGGGGGTTATGCATATATTACGCTGTGGGGTCCAAATCTCCCCACAATGTGATAAAAACCTGTTATTTTGATGTTGTGGGGACCATTTTTTCAGTTCCCACAAGGGGACACTCAGTTGTATAAAAATCTGTGATTGCAATAAAAAAACAAAAGTCTTATACTTTCTTTGGTTACTTATGGTTAAGGTTGTCATAGTCATAGTTGTCTATGGTTTTGCCCATAGAAATGAATGGACAGTCCCCACAAACATGTGTGTGATGAATTAAGGAACATTAATGGGCTTTGAAGGTTGACAAGTTAATTTAATACTGAATTATAAAACAGATTATGAATATGAATAAAAAGACCATGAATAATTACAAAAACCACAAAGAAGATTAAACCAATTATTGTCGTTTTATTAACGACGATCACACTGTATGCTTGCATTTACACTGTTTTGAATTCTTTGTATTCTACCATAATAATTCTCTGTCCTGCTGCATTGAAATGCAAAGCCCTGCTGTGATCCCTGCTTATGCGATTGGCTGATCGTTGCACATGGTATGCATTATTGTGCATGCGCTTGCGAAGTAATCTTGGTTTCAGTAAGAAAACCTGGCTTGATAGCCTGATTGCTGATAGACAGTTTCATGATATTGTTTATCTCAGATTGCATTTGTATGGTTTTGTTAAGCTGAAACTCTTCTAAACCTCACTTTGTTAAACCAGTTTCGTAAAACAGGCCCCCGGGGCTGTAGGCTGTTGTTTGTTAGCCAGAGACCTCTAGGCTGTTCATCGCAGTGGAAATGGTGCTCAGCCACCTTGCAATGAATTTCCTATGCACTCACAGAGGGTAAAATAGTCATTAGCTTGCAAGGAAGGGTGGATTTGTGTGCATTATAGATGGCCAATTTTATTAATATGCACTCCTGACAAGAAATGGGTTAAACCCAAAATTGCATAACATTTCATTCATTCATTCATTCATTCATTCATTGTGCTTAACGGTCTCAACAGCAAACAGCTAGAAGATATTTTGGTAAATTTTGAACACATAGACATGCTAGTTTGAATTTTATATCACAGATTTTACTCTTTTCATGATTTGTGCACAACAAGCCTGTGTAAGTGAATGTCCCCGTTTCCAGCTTTTTCCGCAGCAGTTCACTGCAGCAGCGATCAGTGACAAACAAATGGTGGCACAGGTCTAGGGAGAGTAATTTTTAGTTATTGCTAATTATCTGACCAATGATCAGTTGTTAAGACAATTAGGAGCTTAATATTTAGCAATTTTGGGTTTGGCCCTTTCTTGCTCAGGGGGTGTTCAAGTTACTATGAAATACATCACTGATGAAGTGAAGGGCAGTCAAAGAAAATGTTTAAAGCTACTTATCTGAGCAGTAAGTGTATATTTGCTCAGAAAATAACACACTTTGACATTTATAATATATGTAAAATGACCAATAAGAAATTAATTTCTTCTGTTCTGCAAAAAGTTACTGATACCTAGTTGGATGGCCAGATGAACACCGCTTCAGTTCCCAAACCTCTCCTCAGGGACACCTCAGCCATTCCATGTATTAGTTAATTAATTTGATGTCGTATTGATTAACCAAACATCGTTGGGTATCAGTCAACATGGGTATATGGATACTGTTAATATTGGGGGGACTTTAGGAGAAGTGTTTCAATTTTAAGGCTCACATACTTTCATGGACATAAAATCATAGTTATACACCAACATAAACAATTCAAAATTTAATTTCCTTTGGCTGTCTGTGCTTTTGAAGGAACTGTACATATAATATAATAAATGATTGGTTTATTTAAGCAGGTAAAGTTTCTCTGCAGCCCTCTTTCCCCGCCATGTATGCTGATTTTCCTTGGAGTACAGAACTGTATTATTCTTAGTAATTGTAATATTGTGTCATATGTTGCATTAATTGCATACAGACCTGTAGATATACTCTGATTTTGGGTGAAGATATATAATACAATACAGTTATGAATGTGTGCCAGAATCCGATACCAGCATGCGTGCCTTTGCGGAGCGGGTGTTTGCATCCGAGACCAAAGATGAGGACGTCCGAGAAGAGGTCTCTCTCTTCGACGTGTCTGAAGACTGTCCCATCATCCACCAGGAAATGGCCCAGCACCTGCAGGATGAGACAAAGGAGGAGAGGCGGTGAGGCACTGTTGTGGACTCATGTGGAGACGGTCACTAATATTTCAATGTGATCTTTTGTTTAGTGAAGACATATTCCTTTATTTTGAAAACGCTCATCTCCAAAGAGATTTACATGTAATAGCAAATAAGTTCACAATACAAGACAAGAAAGGGATCTTATTCAGTAAACATTGTCCAACACTACAACATGAGATACTAAAATATAATACAGAGCAATAAACAACATTAAACATGGTCCACCTTTATACTACATACTGCCCAAAAAGTGACCCAAGAAGTCAAATCTGTCGACCAACAATCTAGTTAAGGAAAGAGACAAACAGATAAGCACAGAACAAAGGAAATTCCTCTGTTTCCCCACTTAGATGAAAATGCAGATGCGTTTATCTACAACTCCAAGGTCAGGCATGACATGAAATGGCCCATCAACATGAAGAGACCCCAGTTCTTTCATAAAGTCAACCATTTAAGTGATTTTGTTGAAAAGAAATTAAGAAATGGAAATCTGATTGATGAAATGAATCCATTAGGCTCTTTTGGTCACAGATACCAAGAAAACAAGGTGGGCCATGGAAGAGAATTCCCACATTTGTATCTGGTGTGACCACCCTTTGCCAGTGGCAACACAACACATCAGGTTCATCAAGTTGTTGATAGTGGTCTGCGGGATTCTGTTCCACTGTTCGCACACTCACATGGTCTCCGATTGTGAAGCCAGTTATAGAAAAGGCAAGAATTCTAAAGCTATTTTAGAGGAGGCTTTTAGTACCAAACATTCCAATGGCACGGTCCCGCAAAACCTGGGCTATCTCAGGTCTTGGGAATACAATGACGTGATATTTAAATGCTGAGCTGACATTCTCTCCTCCTTGGTAGTGGAGCATTTCAGATTAAATACCTCACTCAAACGTATTACAGTACCAAAGTCTCTCCTCAAACCAGTAAGTTCGACCATCTTTTGAGAAAAAAAAAATCAAGATACTCTTTGCTTGTTTAGGTCGATGAATGAAGTCCAGAGCACCACACCAAACAATCTCTCTCCCTTAAAGAGTGAATTAAAATCTTTCTCCTTGTCCCCCTCCAGTAAGAAACAGCAGGCCTTTGTGAGCAGTGTGCCAGTCACTCCGTTAGCTGAAGCAGGCATGCCTACCTACCTAGAGGTGCCTGAGTTCCAGAGAGTGGCAGTCATTGGAGACTATGCTGCTGGGGTATGACAGGCCGGTGTTTTGTAGAACTGCATGGATTTTCTGTCTTTCTTTCTTTTTCTTTCTTTCTTTCTTTATCTGTCAATCTATCTTGTACTGGCCATATTTAACAGGGATTATCGAAACATTCTGTATTGTCTGCTGCTCCTACCCGCCTCAGCACATCCTGCATCCTTCTGTTCCCCCAGGTGACCATGGACGATTTCGCAATGTCCTGCAGGGGCCTGTATCGTGCCCTTTGCATCAGGGAGAAGTACATGCGCCAGGCCTACCAGCGTTTCCCCATAACTGCTTCTGAATTCTTGCGTAAGATTGAGGGAGAAATCTGGAAGACTGAGGACCTGGTGGTGCCAGGTGTGTTAAAGACAACATTTGGCATGACATTCTTGCTCTCATATATCCTTTGGGCTGGTGCCAATAAATGTAAACCAATAATAGCAGGAAAAAAAACAAGCAAACAAACACCACTATAGACTAGACTCCACATGCATATGTAACACACACATACACACACACACACACACACACACACAAAATATATACAGACCCTCCTCTACTTACGAACTATCAAATGACGAACGAAGAGGACTGCAAGTCCGAATTGTGTTCCTTAGGCTCCCGTTTCCTGTCTGCAACATCAGTTTTTTTTTCTGCACGCCAGTTCCGTCTAGAACGACTTCTGGTCGCTACTCCTGCCGCGCAGCAGCGTAGCGTGCGTACTCCCAGCAGCGTAGCGTGCGTACTCCCAGCAGCGTAGCGTGCGTACTCCCAGCATCCTAGTTCTTTGACCTTGCGTATACCCTTAAAATTACGTTGAATAACGACTTACGAACATTTCAAGTTACGAACGGCCATTCGGAACGTAACTCATCCATGAGTAGAGGAGCGTCTGTCTATCTATATGTGTGCATATCTACAGTATATGTATGTGCAGATTTATAATCTGGTGGGAAAAGTGACAAAAGTTACAATTGGCACTATAGTAACAGTTAGAGGCCTATGTTCACAAACAAACCTTTGTAATCTGCTGTTAACTGTGGAAAAAAAAACTTTCGGAGGACACAGAAACCCTTCTATATTTAGAAAATATTTATAAATACATATTAACATATTAAAAAACTTCCATATTCATACCTTTAACATAATTATTGAATCTCAACCCGGTTCTCGAGGACCCCCCCACACAGTGCACATTTTTGCTGTCTCCCAGCTCCCAACACAACCATAGCAGGCATTCAGTGTTCTTGATTGGTTAGAAGGGAGCAAAAATGTGGACTGTCTGGGGTGCTTGAAGACTGGGTTGCGAAACACTGATCTAGAGATAAAAATGACTGCTTGGTAAGTGGCAAATATGTGAACTTACAGTTTGCTGAGACACAGTCATTTGAGTTGTAATACATTCACAAACCTGGAGGAATAGTCAGGCAAAGCATGGCTGAGTGTATTCATAGCAGCAAAGGTAAAGCTAAGGAGACTTTGACTTATTCCTATCCTTAATCCTATCCTTAATTCCTATCCTTAATTCCTATCCTTAATTCCTATCCTTAATACGAGGTATATTTGACTTCTAGTGACATAGTGCTTCATGTATGATATCTAACAGCAGTATGCATGTCTGTGTGTGTGCTTGTGCATCAGATTTCACGCCACCACCCAAGCCCGGGGAAGACCCCTTCTGCACAAAAACCCTGCCACAGAATCTGGGCTATGTGGCACGCATGCATGATGGTGTGGTCCACATCTACAAAACCACAGAGGATGCTGACAGCCACCAGCCCATTGACCTACCCACACCAGACTATGCCACCTTCATTGACGACATGAACTTCCTCATCGCATTGATAGCGCAAGGCCCCACGTAAGTTGGCCTCTTCTCACTCTCGGAGTACGAGTACAGATTTAAGGAGACACTGACTGTTGTCCTGCACCAGGTTCAGAAATGCTTAAGTTTTGTCAGGGTGTACGTTACAAATCACTTTCTAGGAATGTTTACCAAACTTGGGATTGAGGTATGGAAACGTTCAAAGTGTCCAGTGTACCCAGAACAACAACCCACCACTACGACTACTACTGCAGCTAAGACTAATACAACTCTGTTTCCAAAAAATGTGAATTAAAACAGAATGCAATGATTTACAAATCATATAAACCCACATTTTTTCGAATACAGAACAAAGGCAACATATCAAATGTTGAAACAGAAATTTTATTATGACAAATATATGCACAATTTGAATGCCAGAAACACGTTTCAATGAAGCTATGACGGGCATGTTTACCACTGTGTTGCATCACCCCTTCCTTTAACAACACTCTGTAAAGGTTTGGGAACTGAGGAGACCAGCTGCTGGAGGTTTGAAAGTCAAATGTTGTACCATTCTTTCCTGATATAGGATTTCAACTGCTCAACAGTTCAGGGTCTCCTTTGATATTTGCTGTTGTAATACGTGTAGAATGCGGTTTGGCATTGTCTTGCTGAAATACATAAGGCCTTCTCTGAAAAAGAAGACCTGTTGCTCCAAAACCTGTATATGTCGTTCACCATTCATGGTGCCTTCCGAGATCTGCAAACTACCCAAGCCATGGGCACTAATGCATCCCCATACCGTCACGGATGCTGGTTTTTGAACTGCTGAAGCTGAATGGTCTCTCTCCACTTTAACCTGGAGGACACAACGTCCATGATTTCCAAAAAGAGTTACACATTTTGATTGCTAACATCAAATTGAGGATATATTTGTCATAAAACAACAAAACTTTTTGATATGTTGTCTTTGTTTTATTTTCATTTAAATATGAGTTTATATGATTTGCAAATCATTGCATTCTGTTTTTACTTACATTTTGCACAGTGTCCTAACCTTTCTGGAAACAGGGTTGTAATATGACAGCCAGTGAAGGGCTTGGTAAAGCAGTAGATAATGCTGCCACTTAATATGTCAAAGGTCATGGAGGATGGATGGTATAGTCCAGGTACATATACACTCACCTAAAGGATTATTAGGAACACCTGTTCAATTTCTCAATAATGCAATTATCTAATCAACCAATCACATGGCAGATGCTTCAATGCATTTAGGGGTGTGGTCCTGGTCAAGACAATCTCCTGAACTCCAAACTGAATGTCAGAATTGGAAAGAAAGGTGATTTAAGCAATTTTGAGCATGGCATGGTTGTTGGTGCCAGACGGGCCGGTCTGAGTATTTCACAATCTGCTCAGTTACTGGGATTTTCACGCACAACCATTTCTAGGGTTTACAAAGAATGGTGTGCAAAGGGAAAAACATCCAGTATGCGGCAGTCCTGTGGGCGAAAATGCCTTGTTGATGCTAGAGGTCAGAGGAGAATGGTCCGACTGATTCAAGCTGATAGAAGAGCAACTTTGACTGAAATAACCACTCGTTACAACCGAGGTATGCAGCAAAGCATTTGTGAAGCCACAACACGCACAACCTTGAGGTGGATGGGCTACAACAGCAGAAGACCCCACCGGGTACCACTCATCTCCACTACAAATAGGAAAAAGAGGCTACAATTTGCACGAGCTCACCAAAATTGGACAGTTGAAGACTGGAAAAATGTTGCCTGGTCTGATGAGTCTCAATTTCTGTTGAGACATTCAAATGGTAGAGTCAGAATTTGGCGTAAACAGAATGAGAACATGGATCCATCATGCCTTGTTACCACTGTGCAGGCTGTTGGTGGTGATGTAATGTTTTCTTGGCACACTTTAGGCCCCTTAGTGCCAATTGGGCATCGTTTAAATGCCACGGCCTACCTGAGCATTGTTTCTGACCATGTCCATCCCTTTATGACCACCTTGTACCCATCCTCTGATGGCTACTTCCAGCAGGATAATGCACCATGTCACAAAGCTCGAATCATTTCAAATTGGTTTCTTGAACATGACAATGAGTTCACTGTACTACAATGGCCCCAACAGTCACCAGATCTCAACCCAATAGAGCATCTTTGGGATGTGGTGGAACGGGAGCTTCGTGCCCTGGATGTGCATCCCACAAATCTCCATCAACTGCAAGATGCTATCCTATCAATATGGGCCAACATTTCTAAAGAATGCTTTCAGCACCTTGTTGAATCAATGCCACGTAGAATTAAGGCAGTTCTGAAGGCGAAAGGGGGTCAAACACCATATTTGTATGGTGTTCCTAATAATCCTTTAGGTGAGTGTATATAGCACTGTAATAAAATTGTATCTTATTATAAAACAATAATTTTCAACATCAATTGTATTAAAAGGATGTTAAGTAATAAGATTATCATGCTGACACTGATAGAACCTTTGTAATGTAAATCATAGAAATAACATTCTCGCCAACCCCGAGAGAACCTTCACATAATGTTGGCTAAAGTTCTGGGAATGTTCCCTGTCAGCTTGGGTCCTCCTCCCAGTACCCACATGAAAAGCACATGATTGGGACCACTGCAGGATGGTGACTTGTGGGATGACTGTCAGATTATGTGGTCTGTTAATGAGTTTGCTTAATGCGTCCGCCAACCCCATCTCTCACACTTCGCACTGGACTACAGGAAGACCTATTCTCATCGGCGCTTGAAGTTCCTCATGTCCAAATTCAATGTACATGAGATGCTCAATGAGATGGAGGAGATGAGGGAGCTGAAGAACAACCCACACAGGGACTTCTACAACTGCAGGAAGGTGTGGGATTCATCTTCCGTCAGTCCTATTCTGTAATTGCTTTCCTGTTATTGCAGTTTGTTGCAGCTCACTTTTGATGCTTTTCTCAGGCATATAAATCTACTTTCATGTAAAAAGTTACTATCCTCTACCCATGTAACTATTTTAGAACACAACAGTGGTAATGGATTCCATGTATTACACATGCTGATGAAAAATCTCTCACCTCTCTAGGGTGCTTACAATACTGTTGTTGGTAGTAGATTGTTTCAGAGAACTCTCACATACTCAGGAAGGGCTCCTTTGGACTGTGTACATTTGCTGCCACCTACTCCCAGATTTATTTACAGCAAGTGCTTCTGTGGGGGGAAATCTAAAAAGTAACTTCCTGAAGGGTATGACAGTAGAGACTGTCAGGGTGGTTTCCCTAGCGATTATGCTAAAGACAATGATGTTCATTCGATAAAGGTGGACACCCACATCCATGCCGCCGCCTGCATGAACCAGAAGCATCTCCTGCGCTTCATCAAGAGGTCATACCGCGTGGACGCTGACCGTGTAGTGTACAGCATCAAGGGCAAAGAGATGACCATGAAGGACCTGTTTGCATCCCTCAAGCTACACCCCTATGACCTCACTGTGGACTCGCTGGATGTGCACGCTGTAAGTTTCACATCGGCCATCAGGGCAAATTTCCATTACATTTATTTACTTTATTTCCATTACATTTATTTAGAAATCTTTATGCAAAGCGATTAATATATTGTATTAATGCTAACACATCATCAAAAAGCATTACAGGCAATCTCCGGGTTCACGACATCAGAACGGACTTCCACAGAGCCTGCTGTATTAAATCTTCTGCTTAAATTGAATGTTTCGTGATAACGAACGCATGCACTACTTTGTGACGCTCGTGAAAACGCTCCACGGCTTCAGCGGTTAGTCCGCTCACAGCACAATACAATACTCTACAATACGCTATGGAGTTACTTTTGTTATTGCTATATAATTAGCGTTATTTTTATGTTCTCTATTATCCTTGTTCAGACGTATTGCCGCAAAAATGAAGCAGCAGCACTGTGTGTCAGTAAAGTAAGAAAACATCAGCTGAAGGAAGTGTCTAGGTTTTGTGAACACAGTAAAATATAACGTATAAAGTATTTTATGGATCTTTTTCAGAATTTGCAAGCACATTTTAAAGGTGATAAGAACACAAATAACCAAAATGTTACATTTAATTAAACTGAAAATTTGTGAACTTGAAGTAAATTGAGAGCACAAATAAGTAAATTGAATGCACATTTAGGTATTACATGATCTTGATTAATTGGGGGAAACGTTAAATTTAATACATTATGCCCATGGAAAAAAACAATCGTCCGTGGCCTGTCTGTCTATACCATTGGTGTATCTGTTACACCTCTTACCATTATGTCATGAAAAATGCTGGTCTAGTGGTGCATATGGGAAATAAATAGAATATAAACACTTACACAGAAAAAATATGAATATACATGAAACTAACACATGGACATAGAGACATGCACAAAGAAAAACAGGTAATCACCTACTAGATGGGGAAATATTGTGCAAATGATCATGTAAGTGGAATGAGCAATAAATTAGTAGGTGTAATTTTAGAGTTACATGTCACTAAGTATGAATATATTTATTGCCATTCACATTTAAGCGGGTCATCCATCCAGTACTTCCAGATATTGTACTTAGTGTTCACACTTCCAGGTGATCCATACAATAATTCTAGAAATTGTGCAGGTTGGTGAGTGTGCATGTAGTACGGATTAGATGGGCAGAGCAGGTGATGGGGCTGTCTGGGGAATTCAATGCTGTCATTCTGGCAGCCCCCCCCCTTTCTAGTTTAATCAAAGAATTGATCAGTGCTATTAAAATGAAAATTACATTCAGCGTCATTTTAGTCATGCATGGGTAATGTGAAAGTCAGTGTAGGTACGCTCCTGAACGCCACAATTCTGAATGAGTCATTTTCCACTGTCACACTGTCACTGACTGATCATTTTAATTTAGCAGAGTGATTTTATTCATGTGAAAGACATGAGTTTCCACATTGCAAGGATCTACATTATAGCATGCGAAGTTCACTGACAAGAGAATGCACTCACATGCAAAAAGTGTATTGGATTAAAAAATGGTCTCAAGACACACAATACAATAGCGAACAAGAAAGTCACACAGCGTTGTATAACACAGAAAAATCGTAACACAAAAGCAACAAAATTGCAACTTACTCATGTACTGTGGCAGCCAAAAATACAATACCATATCACTGCAATTTATTGAATATTTTCTTCAATATTCTGCACATTTTACATGTGGTGGTACACACACACACACAGACACACACACACACACACACTAGTGGCAAAAATTGTGGAAACATTTCCAATTTTTAGAGATTGCAGAACTTTATCGAACTGTTACAGTTATGTAATTGTCCGATGTATGATACTTGTAGCATTCTTTGATTGTTGATCAACATTACTGCCAGTATTTGTGCAGTAATCTTTAAAGTGTAATGCAAAAAATGCTAGGTATTTCCACAATGTTGGTCACTAGTGTATGCATAGTTTGGGGTGTAAAATTATTTCAGTGGGAATCTACATATTCCATTTTGATCCACAAGACTTAAGCAATGGATGGTTATTACAAATAACTGACTACATGGTGTGGAGGCTATACACACTGATTTGCAAATAGTTAATTGTTATTTGAGAAATGCGGCAAAGCAATTGAGAAAAAAACCTTAGAAAGAAACTACTTTATATAAATCTGTTACAATTTATGTTCCGGATAGTTACTCTTGATTTGTCAAGGATTGTGTGTTAAAAAGCTCTTGCTTGCTCTCTCTCTAAGGGCAGACAAACCTTCCAGCGCTTCGATAAATTCAATGCCAAGTACAACCCAGTGGGGGCCAGTGAGCTGCGGGACCTTTACCTGAAGTCAGAGAACCACATCAATGGAGAGTATTTTGCCACCATCATAAAGGTATCTGTGTAATTGGAACATATCCAGATAAGTTTAGCTAAACGCTGCAGTGCTGGAAATTGCCAACTTTCAGCTCTAACCTTTGTGTCAAATAGGAAGTAGCAAGTGACCTTGAAGATGCCAAATATCAGTATGCGGAGCCCCGCCTCTCCATCTATGGCTGCAACGCAAATGAGTGGAACAAGCTTTCCTATTGGTTCAATAAGCATCGTGTCTACTCCCCCAACTTGAAGTGGATGATCCAAGTCCCTAGAATTTAGTAGGTTTCTCTGTGGGTGTGTATGAATCTGTTTTTGTCTCTGCATCTGTGAGTCGTTAACGAACCGGTAAGGTTCATGTCAATAACAATATGTTATCTGTATTTTTTTTGGGGGGGGGGGCTTCTGTTAAGACTTCCATCCGAAATATTCTAGGGCACCGGTGGCCAATCTTATCCACAAAGGGCCGGTGTGTATGCAGGTTTTTGGGATAACCTGTAGGTCAGCTGTTCAAACCCAGGTGTGAGGACTCTTCAGCCAATCAGTACTCTACTTAGTAATCTAATTAGGGAGTTGCAGCGAAAACCCGCATAAGATTGGACACCCCTGTTCTAGGGGAAGTGACTTTTAAATTTGTGTGTACTTTGAATTTAGACAAATATCCCTAGAAAGGTGAAACATGGTCACCCTCCATTCTAACCTCTTAATTACATTCCACTTCTGATCTCAATATACATTATGCTATTATCACTATAATTTGGCCCAATGACTGTTATTTCCCCCCCCCTCCATGGAAACCCCCAGTGACATCTTCAGGGCAAGAAACTTTGTGCCCCACTTCGGGAAGATGCTGGAGAATATCTTCCTCCCCGTGTTCCAAGCCACCATCGACCCACAGAGCCATCCTGAGCTCAGCATCTTCCTCAAACATGTGAGTGAACGCAGAAAATGAAAATAGGAGACTCACAGAGGATGAACAAAACAAAAGAGTACAAAAAATTCCACTAGTGGTCAGGTTAAAAGCAGGGCTCCTCTTGTCTTTCCCCAGGTGACAGGGTTCGACAGTGTGGACGATGAGTCCAAGCATAGTGGCCACATGTTCTCCACCAATAGCCCGAAACCGGAGAAGTGGGATATTCCCAAGAACCCATCATACACTTATTACATCTACTACATGTATGCCAACATCATGATGCTCAACCAGCTACGCAAGTGAGTATCATAACAGCAGCTATTAACAGTATTACCACACAGAACAAGATTTTTTTGGCACCAAAATGCTTAACCCTGTTAGAACAGAAAATGAGTAGCTTAATATAAACATTTTTATTTTATTATAATTCTTGAAAATTGTAACATGTGAATACTATGAGTATAAAGTTGTGTTTATTTAATGCAGTGGGGACTGTATTTTCACAGTCTCAGTCTTAACTTGTTGTCCAAAGCTGGCCTCTGTTTGTCTACTAGGCAAAGAGGAATGAACACCTTCCTGTTCAGGCCTCATTGTGGAGAAGCAGGGGCAGTAACACATTTGCTAGCTGCCTTTATGACAGCTGACAACATCTCCCATGGACTGAACCTCAAGAAGGTCTGAAAACTCTAACACACCTGATACACTTTGTCTGAACACTCCTCAACAAATTGTAGCATAGAGAAAACACACTTCAGTGTATGCCTGATCTTATCAAGGAGTTAATGGACTTCAGGAGTCGTAAGCTTAAGCTGCCCACCCATCCACTTTCTCTCCAGAGCCCTGTGCTACAGTACCTGTACTTCTTGAGCCAAATCCCCATCGCCATGTCTCCACTCAGCAACAATAGCTTGTTCCTGGAATATGCCAAGAACCCCCTCCTGGAATTTCACAAGAAGGGGCTAATAGTGTCCTTATCGACTGATGACCCTATGCAGTTCCACTACACTAAGGTGAGGACTGATGCATTTACTTATACAGTATGTGTGTCTGTCTCTATGATTTATACTGTTTGCCTTTTTCTTTCACATATTTAGGAACCCCTGATGGAAGAGTATGCCATCGCAGCTCAGGTGTTCAAACTGAGTACCTGCGACATGTGTGAGATCTCCAAGAACAGTGTTCTGCAGAGTGGGCTATCTCACGAGGTACTAAGGCCCGGACAAGCAACACTGCCACGTGCTTGAAATATTGTAGCACAAAGACAGAATCCAGATTCAGAAAGAGAGCAATGATAGAGATGTGGGATGTGATTGAAACCTCAAACTTTCCACGTTCTGAAACTCTTCCCTTTTTCACCTCTGTCCCCACCCACTGATCTCCAGGAGAAGCTCCATTTCCTGGGAGATTGCTACCAGAAAGATGGCCCAGAGGGCAATGACATCCGGAAGACAAATGTGGCACAGATCCGCATGGCCTACCGCTATGAGACCCTGGGCTATGAGCTGAACCTCATCAAGGATGGTGTCAAGAGCCAATAAGCAGACAGTGCCTTGGAGAATCAAGCAGTTTTGTCAAAGTGGTGGTGTGTTCAGCTTCAGCTGCCAAAGTCTGTTGAGATACTAGGGCTTTCATTAGGAATTAAACTTAAGTTTTAACCAAAAAGCATTTACCTAAAACAAAAATGCTATAACCTGGTCTTAGAGGTTGTTACTTACAGAAACCAAAGTGCAATTAATGGAAATTAAATTAATTATTTTAAAAGGGAAAACTTTTTGTTTTTTGCTGTCTAAGTCTTTGAAGTCTACAGTAGTACAATAAGACCAAATCACAGAAGCACTACTACTGAGCATTTTATTTACAGGAATACACTCATATACTGGAATATTTTCCAAAAACTGTACATAAAATCCTTTGAAGTACTCACTGTGCGCTTGAAGGAAGTACTCACTGTGGCTACATATAACATACTTTTCAATATGTTCAAAAATTCATCTGCAACAATCTGATGCATAAAAACAAAATTCCTGACATCTATAGTTGTGGCAGAATCTTGAGATAAGGTGACTAAGGTAGCACAACATTTTATCATCAAGAAAGAGAATTTACTATATAGTAAATGTGGATGATGTTCAAAAAAGAACTCATTTAGATAATGCTAGATTATTTATTTATTTGGTTATTTTATCAATGATTTAGGTAATAGGTCAGAAAAGCAGTTTATGTTCCATTCTTAAAATTTAGATAGCTAGGAACCACTTAGCCTGACCAAAATATCTGACTAGCCAGCAATTTCATAGGGTGTATTCTACAGCCCTAGTTTGGTGAATTAACTTGTGGGCTTATCCACCTGAAGGAACGTCATATCTGCATAGAGCCAGCCACTAATCCACACTCCCTGAGCCCTTTGTTAGGGACAGTATACATACTAATATTGTGTGAGGGATCACCTTGCGCTCAAAACAGCCTCAATTCTTCGTGGCATAGATTCCACAAGATGCTGGAAACATTTCTTTGAGATTCTGGTCCATGCCAACATGACAAAATCACGCAGTTTCTGCAGATTTGTCAGCTGCACATTAGTGCTGTCAAAATTAGCCAAAAAATTATGTTAGATTATTACTTCTAAATAAAAACACATTGAATGGTTTGAATATCTTTTTTTATGCATTATTTACATAAACGGGGCAACCAATACAACAAGAGACAAATATACCTATATACAAGCAGTTATATTTCAACATAAGCATGTCCTTTATAAGATCTACATACCTATACATCAGAAAATGAATAAAATAACTAGATTACAGTATATAGAATGAGTTAGCTGTGCTGTGATAAAGGAGCAACAATCACTTTTTTTTCTTGATATAAAATGGGAAATAATCAAACCATTGGGGACATGCAGTGTTTGAAGCTTCTGTCTGTAGCATATTCATTACTCAATATTTACTCATTTAGTAGAATACACTTTTGAACTGTTTTTGTTTAAAGGTAGGGTATGCAATCAGCAACAGGGGATGTTCATGCTCATTCACAGGACTGGGAGAGAGTAGACTCCATCCAATCAGCTTCTCCAGTCTACCCTCCTGTGAACAATTCTAAGACATGTGACAAAGAAATTTCACCCTGAGGGCTAATTTACAATGAAGACCTATTAATAATGGAAGAGTAGGCTAATTACATTATTGATGCTAGAACCATAAAAAAAAGTTCCACAACTTTGCCATCTACTGACCGAAATCTGAAATATTTCCAAATGGGGCTTTGTAGATTGCAGATCTCTCTGTGGGTGAGCTGGGACGTAAACTCTCTGTTATCATTACTACACAGTTGTCGTGGAATTATTCACTCATTTCAATCAATGTAAGTGATGTTGTGTGACTCCTGTCCATCATGTAATGCAGTCATTGCAGCATCACAGGCCCATGCAAGAACATGCGAGGCAGACAATCATGGTAGTGCTTTATTAATTTTTTTATCATTGAATATTATTTTAAACAATCAAATGTCTGCTTTCTTTTTGCAATTCAATCATATAATGAATTTTAGAATACTTGTTGACAGCAGCACTGCACATCCATGCTGTCAATCTCCCATTCTACCACATCCCAGATGGGGCAGACCACCGAAGAACAGTGAACTCATTGTCATGTACATGAAACTAGTTTCAGATGACTTTCGCTTTGTGACATGGCTACGTCCAGCATGACAATCCACCATCAGAAGATGGGTAAACTGTGGCCATGAAGGGATGCATATGGTCAGCAGCAGTACTCAGGTAGGCTGTGGTGTTCAGGCCATGATCGATTGGAATTAAGGGTCCAAACTGTGCCACGAAAGCATTTCCCCACAGCATCACTGCCACCAGCCTCTGTGGTCCATCCCGCCAGTGTGCTGGTAAGCCGCCTCCTCCTCTTCACTAGTACGCACACGCTGATGACAGAGACGAGCTGAACCCTGTTGTTTCCCACCCTGATGGGGCTAACTAGTCCGTGTCTTCTTGCATAGCACTGGGGAAGTGCAGGTAGCCCCGCCCCCCTCCCCATCCATAGATCCTTCACAAACACCCCCAGGGTCTCACTGTCCCGCCTCTAGTGCTGCTATTAGACCAGTGTAGTCCCACTGCTCACTGGCAGTCAGGCTGAGCAGACAGAGCCTTCGAAGACAGTGCCAGGTGGACCATCCAATCCCTACCAATTGTACCAAGCTGCCAGGTGGACTTCAATGAGGTACAGCTCCTGGGGCTTTTTCCCCGCCATAAAGAGGAGCTTCAGAGCGTCTCTGCTTCGGTTGGGGAAGCAGGTTAGATCCATCAGGTCACTACTAGGCTCCCAGGGTGAGGTTTGCTGCTGCTCCGTCCCGGTGCCGTCTTGGAAGCCTGGCTGATTGGAGCCTTTGGATTAGGTCATCGATTTCTGTGCTGACCTAGTATCCCTCTCCTGACAGCAGTGTCACCAATGGTGGCTTTTGGGCCATGTTTTACCAGAAACAGACATGCTCTTTAAAAGAGCAAGCAGTTCACATCATCAGCAAACTCCCAGAGACTAGCAGCAACAGACAGCTAAAGCCAACAATTCACATAATTATTACACTCAGGGTAACCGCTACGCAATCACACGCACACCACGGTAAAAACATTACATTCAGCACTTACAGCACAATGTGACGACACTTACTATTCGTACATAAATTCACAAATATAGATGTTTCTTTACAAGTGACTGTGACTCAAGGCATGCTGGAATGTGAATAATTAAGTTTCTGTGGCCCAGTTGAACGGCGCTGAAGATCGGACCAGATGGAGGTAAATCGTCGATACCCTATGCACTTTTTGGCACAAAAAGGATTATCTAGTTAAGTTAGTTAATTGCTCATGTAGTGGGATTCAGGGGGACAACCATGGGGCCATCAGTGTGCAGCCCACATTGTGCCCAAAGTGCAGGCTGTATCCCAAGGGCTGCATTAGGGGCCCACAGTATGGGGCCCACATGTATTCTCCATTTCACAACCCAAACAGGGCCCAATTTTCAGCTCACAGTGACCCCAAAAAGACTTGTTTGCTGGGTAACTATTTCAGGCAATACAGTAAACTTGGACATGGCAGCTCACTTATTACATGATTTTTATAATCTCAAGAAAGCTTTTAAATTTACATGAACCTGTACTAAACTATGCAAATGACATTTCAAGGCATGCAAACGAATGAATGTGTAGCTGGTCGATATACCGTTACCGGTTATACCCAACCTCAGCGGGGGTAACAACACGACATTAAGCGTGACTCACAGAGGTGTCTATGTCGCCGATTATAAATCTTTTTAACTGTCAAATAAAACAATCAGTTACCAGTAATACCTTAACTGGAATATGAATATATTGTAAACATTTTTAAGTCACTGCACCCTTTCCCCTTGTAAAGTTTATGAAATCTTGCCCGGCGAAGGCGAAGTCCCTGTTTCTCCCGTTAAATCTCAGGACTTCCTCCTCCAGCTGCGGAGTCCGATCACGCTCAATGGCCGCATCCTGCGTGCGAACGCGGGGGGCGAGTCTCCGAGTCGCCGGGACTCCGGGACCAGAGTCATGGCTGAAGGCGGCAGCCACGCCGCATATTAACATACTGGGGAGGATTCTCCGCATCATCTGCCGTTAGCGAAAACTTCTGCGGCGGCGAAGGGATATAAAACGGCTGAAGATCGTCCATACTGGATTACTGTCAAGGCGAGAAGGGATACGGTGCCGCGGAGGTGGGTTAAGTTCAGTTAGCCAGTTATTTCTTACATGGTTTTACGTGTCTCGTAGCTTCCCATGTCTTCCCAGAGTTCATCAAGCAGATAACATTTGTGTAGTTGAGAACTTTCTAGTCGGTTTGCTGTGCGAACTCACCCGTCCCTTTTATGTCATTCTACTTTTTAGCTGGTTAGCTTGAAAGTAAATTTAGCTAAATGGGCGCTCAGTCCCGGGATGCCCTTTCCAAGCCGCTTAATTGTTCTTCTGCTGCACTTTGACGCTTTCAGTTTGTTACCGTAGGTAAGGAATTACCGAACGAGGGTAATACTGGTCATATTTACATTTAATGGTGTATGAAAGTGTACACGCGGCGGTTTAGAAAACGGCTTATAAAAATACTAGAATAAAGTAACTTGAACGAGTTATAAATTGCTTGTGATAACCAGCTGTGAGCTGCCGTTTTACAAAATACGTGACAATTTGGGGGGAAACGGCCTGTTAATTTCATCACATTTCTCCCATGATTTTATGTTTTAACGGTTGATTATAGCGTAGAAAAATAAGATGCCTAGAATTTGGTATTTGCACATTATATGCAGTTTTTCCCCCACTGTAATATTGTTCTGTATATTATAGTCATCGTAGCATGACAGCATGAGTGGGCTTCTAGGCGTTTATTTAAGAATCCATTTTTTTCCCCAAAGTTTTGTGCTTTACGAAGATGTAAGACATACTTTTTGTTTTGGGAAAAATAGGTGTTAAGAACTTGCTTACGGTTTTAAACTTTGTCTGTGATGTTATTAAGATGCTATTTAAGTGACTCGGATGCCTTAACTGGCTCTTCTCACTAGATTTTTTTACTATTAGACAGTGTCTGAGCAGCTGTACAGCTTGCCAGGGAATCACATGCTCCAGTGGGAACCTGTCCAGGGAGCAGCAGACAGAAAAGGGGGAAGTATCTCACTGCAGCTGCTCTTCAAGGCCTGCTGTGAGTGAACTGTGAGCTACAGTTTCTTGTAGAGTCACTTTCTGAAGATCGCTGGATGGCAGAGATAGTTATGTATATGTAACCTCTAGATTGCCAGATCAAGTCCCAGGATGGGTCTTAAACAATTCAGTAAATGCCAGGATGTATCAATCAGTAAAACTGTCATTTTTATTTGGGTAAAGCTGCTATAGCTATGCACCCAACCCAATGTCATGCAGTGCAGAGCGAGTCAGATCATGTGACAGGCACCAAGGAAGGTGTGACGACCACAGCCTGTGAAGCTGCAGTTAGCTGTTGGCTGTCATTTTTGATGTGACTTTAATCCCAAAGTCTATCTATGTGCAGACAAGTTGGGTAATGGACCACTTGCAGTTTGTAGATAACTGGAGTGGAATGGTGTGTAGGTCTTTAAACCTCACTCTCCGCAATTGTTGTTTACACAATCGAAGGAATAAAAGACAACAAGCATGACAAGTATGTGTGCACCTGAGTGTCAGAGTGTTTTAGCAGCATATATTTTTCTTCGCATGCCTTCTGTGTGACTGTGTGTGTTACGCAGGGGTGGCTAATCTTATCCGCAAAGGGCCGGTCTGTATGCAGGTTTTCGCTGCAACTCCCTAATTAGATTACTAATTAGAGGACTGATTGGCTGAAGAGTCCTCACACTTGGGTTTGAACAGCTGACCTACAGGTTATCCCAAATACCTGCACACACACCGGCCCTTTGCGGGTAAGATTGGCCACCACTGGTGTTACTAGTTGAGATTCCAACATTGTTCTTGCTGCCTTGTGCTGGATATTGTTATAGTGCTGCTTTAATCCTTTTTCACAGAACTGTTTGGGGAACCGTGATGTAAAATGGGTCTGTATTTGTTGCCATTCTAATATAATTGTCATCATTTTGTCTCCTCTGTAGGCCTGTAATATTAATCGCTGTTTAACCCAGTTCTTAAGAATAGTGCTTGCCACACCAAACCAAGAAATCCCAGTAGCCCAGATCATAGCGATATGAAAACTACGTAATAAACAATGGCTATTCAGATAATCGTTGCAGCATTGTTCCAAATAAAGAGCTTCTGAGTGAACTTCCCTGACCCAGCCTGCAGATATTTGCTGATCCTCTCATCCTGATACTCAGGAAGCAGGCAAAGGCTTCCTGCAAAATATATGCACGTGCATGAGCGCGCACACGCGCACGCACACACACACACACACACACAAAGCACCATTAAAGGAGTGCAGGCTTGCACACAGACTGATACACAAGCAGCTCCACAATGACTGCACACATACAAACTGATACTTATGTAATGACACATACTGTTGCTGTGTTCCTCTAAATGTGCATATGTATGTAGCTGAAGTCTGCCTTTGACCTAGATTGTGTGCATTTTGATGATGTGAAATAAAAAGCCCATTAATGGAAGCACATAATTCAGGGTTTTTTCAGAATTCATCTCAGAAAAGTGGAAGAAGAATTTGCAAATTAATATACAAGCTATATATGGTAATTCTATGCAGAGTGCTATATTAAAAATGACAACTGAATTTACATTACTGATAATTTGTGGGTTTGCCAAAATAATTTTTTCAAAATTCATATAACAGTTGCCTTCCGAACTGAGTAAATACAGTGTTTCAGGATGTTTTATATTCGGCTAAATATTTGCAAGGAATTCATTCTGTACATTATCATCAATGCATACTGGCAGGCCCACCTCATTTCACATCACATAACTTTCCTCATCAACATGTTTAATAAAGAGCATAACGAGTAAGAACAGGACACACTTCTGCTGCGGACATAAGCAATCTGCTTTTTGTAACATAAGCTTGCTCCATATTGAATTACAAGACATGCGTCCTAATTTCACAGGCTGATCATTATTCGCATGACATCCATTAATGGAAACGCCCCTTATTCAGTTTCATTTTGTCAACTTTCTATTTGCAATTTCATTTGTACAAAATTAATGGAAATACACATAACCACACAAGGCAATTTAGTGAGCTATAGCTTTCTGATAGCAGGATGTGCTTGGCCTTGGCCATGGTCTGCTCTGAGATCCCATGCTGACTGGAAGATGTAGGTCTGGCAGAACAAAGGCAACTTCAACCGTCTCTTTTTTCAGTCCTGCCCCCTTTCTCCCGTTTTCAGGAATGCAACATGTTAAATGACCAATTGCCCGCATTGGTAATCATCCAGGGAATTACTCCCATTTCCCCTCTCTGTCCACCACAACGCCTCCAACATGACCACAGCACTTCTAGACCAGGGCTGGTCATTCCTGCTCCTGCAGAGCTTAGGTGTTGCCCTAATTTAGCACACCTGTGAACATAGCTGGCTCTAATGGTGAGGTGCTACTGCAGTACCTGATTCTCTGTATCGTGAGTGTTAAATTAGGGCATCACCTGACCTCTGCAGGAGCAGGAATGACCAGCCCTATTCTACAGGAATATGTGTATGTGGTTTTGTACAGGGGTTGAATCAGATTCAGGAAGGAGGGGAGCCCTGTCTGGTATAGAGCTGGGGAGTTTCAGAATAAGCTGCTTTATACATCAGTTTATTAGTTTTCATGTATTTATATTGACTATCTTACGTATGCAGTATGTTCATTTGTTGGCATGTTGTGCTACAACTTTAAAGCAATAGGTTACAAAATAAACTAAAACTTGTAGTTGAAAAGTAATTTTTATTTGATACGGGTATTGGACATATTGTGTGGTTAAATAGTACTTGAAGTTTTTGAAACATGTAAGAAACGTAAAAAATGCATTAAAATGGCTTATCACTATGAGTAATATTGTTGCTTATTCATAAGTTATATCCCTATCATACTTATCACTGTGAGTAATATTGTTGCTTATTCATAAGTTATATCCCTATCAGATTCTAGCCAGTAAGTTATGGTAAGTTTTGGTAGCAGTATAGTAAGTGAAGTAAGAGAGAATTTTTGTTCCATGTTTTGTATTTAAGCTGTAGGGATCACGTCTAATCGAGAAATGAATGTCTGGTCAGACCTTTCCCAATGAATGTTATGTGTATTTTTTCTATCTGTATGCCCATGTATGTGTTCCTTGGATTCTGAGTGAGACTGGCATTATCCAGTCTGAAGTTGCAGTGCTTGAGTTGCTTGCATTGGGGGTGCATGTGCAGGACCTGAAAGAGAGTTTTGAGATTAAGTGAACTGGGTTTGGACCTGAGCCCCAGCATTGCAGTGGCTAAGGCATGAGCCTCCCACACACAGACCATCATTAGCGCTGTCCTTTCTATTAGGCTATTTTTGGCCACTGACCTTGAGAAGTCCCAGCCCTTGTCCAGTTTCCTCCGCTTTCCTCCCGTCTCTCTCACGTCCTTCCACCTCTGTTCCCCTTGCCTGCTGTTTGGCTCTCAGGCTTCAGGCTAGGCTGTGTATCAATGAGCAAATAACTGTATTGTCTTGTGCTTTGCAGGGGTCCCCAGGAGGAAAGCTTTTTATTGCATGAGGATGAGAACATTTTGCTCCTGAACCTTGGATAATCCAGTAAAGAAGGAGGGAGAAAACGGACAAACGGACAGTGCACTGGACGTAGAACCTTTCCTGTCCAGTTAGGATAGAGGAGCACAAATGCGTCTGTATTGCCGCCGTATGCCATGCTGACCCTGGGGGCAGGAAGAGGAGGCCGAGGAGGAGTTGGGGAAGCAGGGACCTCTGGGCCTCCTTCCTCAGTAGGCAGACATCTCAGCCATGATCCAGGAATAAATATAAAAAAGAAGATTTCCCAGTGGGAAGGTCGCAGCCAATTAGAAGGGGAGCAGTGTTGTACCAGCAAGGGGCAATGGGTCCCAGTGTCCCGAACTCTCTCTGGGGGCGTCCATGGAAATGAAGCGTGTTGCAATAACAAGAGATGTGAACCTTGGGCAAAGGCATGCCTGGCCAAGGCCAAAAGCCTGGGGCTGGATTTCAGGGAAGCCCAGGGAAGAGGTACATGCAGAGTTAATGGGATGATGGGTGCCCTGGATGATGTAGAAGATCCTAATTCTGTCTCTCAAACAACGGTATGCGAGTCTGTGGATCCCAGCAACTCCACAATTGCCAAGGACAGCGAAGACATCAGAGGGCTTGCAAATGTGAAGCTGGCAGATGAGGACCAGTGTCATTCCCCACCCTTAGGTTTGGATGACCCTGCGCTGATGCTTCCTCCAGGCAGCTTCTATATATCCCGGGGCTTCTGGTGTAAGTTGGAAGGGAGTGATGTGGCCCAGATCGGGAAGAGTCCACCACAGCCGCCCGTCATTGAAACTGAGCACAGAGACACACACCCAGCAACCCCACCACCAAAGCCTCAGCGTACTTTTCAGTACAAGGGGGCCAAGACTGTCCCTGGAAGGCCACACCAAGCAGAGAAGTGGACTTCATGCGCCAACCAATCTCAGCTTAGCTGTCAGGTCAGCTGGTGTCCGCCAGACTGCCCACGTCCCCCTCGTCCCATCTTCCATGGCAGCAGCATACCCAAGCACAAAAACAGGTGAGCTTCTTAACATGCACAGCGTATTACTGCCTATGCACAGCGCCGCGAGTCTGGCGTGGAAGATATGACCTAAAAAGCATCAGCTATCCACCATTACTGCAAGTGAATGAAAACTAGTTAACAAGAATGGACTGAGTATATTTTCATGAATTTTTTACATTTGCTTGTAGGGCTAATCTAGGTGAATGGCCAGTCTGATAGTTTCCATTAACATTGATTCATTTTTAATTCAGCTGCTTCATTATAGTAAGAAAATGAACGTTTGTCTTTATTTATAGATAGTATTTTTTTTTTCTTTACACACATTTTCTATACCAGGGGTCACCAACATGGTGCCCGCGGGCACCAGGATGCCCCCAAGGACCACATGAGTGGCCCCCGGACCTGTTCTAAAAATAGCACAACTCACCAGTGAGCAGCGTCTAAAATAAAATTTTATCCTGTTGCTATTCTTTCTTAATCACATTTGCATTTATATAGATTTGAAAATGACAATATCTAAAAAAGAAAAAACATTTAAAACATGTTTATATTATACATGAAGTTTAGATAAGTTTAGGAGGGCGTTTCAAACTGGTAGCCCTTCGTATGGCTCAGTACCTGTGAAGTAGCTCTCAGTTTCAAAAAGGTTGGTAGCCCCTGTTCTATACAGTAAAATCTCGTTATAGAGGACTCGCTTATAACGGAATATCGTCTATAACAGACAAGGTCTGCTGGTTCCAGCCATGCGCCTTTAAGAATATGCAGAAAAAGCATCGGATATAGCGGACTCACATATAACGGAATTTCGCTTATAATGGACAAACAATTTGGTCCCCAGCGCCGCTTTTAGCTGTAGTTTTGTTTTGCTATAACAGACATACAGGCTCCGCCTACAAGGCGCGTGGCGTGCCGGTGATATCCAGCGCAGATACGGAGTCGGGATTATTAATAGTCACGCATCTGGTCAGGTAAAGTTGGATTACTACATGTACAATATAATAATCTATACCACAAGTGTGTCTGCTGGGGTGTGGCATGAGTAAATGGTGTCCTGTACCTGTGTTCTGGGCATACAGCTACTCTGGATATAACGAACTTTGGATATAACGGACTGTTTTGCCAGGTCCCTTGAAGTCCGTTATAATGGGATTTTACTGTATAAGTGTTAAATGACATTCTCAGATGACCGTTTACTTCAGGGGTGGCCAGTCTTACATGCAAAGGGCCAGTGTCTATGCAGGCTTTTGGGAGAACCTTTAGCTGTTCAAACCCAGATGTGAGAACTCTTCAGCCATTCAGTCCTCTAATTAGTAATTTGATTAACCCGCACACATAACGGGTCTTTCAGGATAAGATTGGCCACTCCTGGTTTACTTAGTGAAGCCATTAAAACTGGCCTTCTGGACTAAATAGAGCAGTTTTTCTTTACACTACAAGTCATAAGTTTAACAATATACCTATTTTTCCAGTTTTTTTATGTAAGCAGTGCAGTGAATGCCCTGAAATGGTACAAATGGAAGTGGTAAACTGCCAGAGGTTTTAAAAACAGTTTACCAAGTTTTTTTTTAACCAGGGAACAAGTAACAGGGTAAATAATCTTTTCCTCAGCAACAGAAGTAAATTAAGCCTTGATGTAAAGTTGATGCAACCAATTACTACAGGTGTCCCAACTGCTACTGATTACTCACAATCCCTCCGCCTGTATAAAAACAGTATTGTAATAGACAAGGATGAACATAACTGGTACGCAAGTACGCATTCACCTTTAAAAACAATACGTGTGACAATCGACTGTGGTAACAGTGTAAATGCGTATTTATGTGCATTTGCGCTGATATGAAAGCAAAATGTGCATTTTAATGCTAACTCTACTTCATTTGCAGTATACAGGTTAAAATGCAAGGTATTTCCTTGTCATAGCAGCGCAAATGTACATAAAATGAGTACGCATTTGTGCTTTTACAATCGATTGTCGCACGTATCGTCGTTAAAGGTGAATTCGTACTTGCGTACTAGTTATGTCCATCCCTGGTAATAGACTTTTATTACACTATCTTTAGCAATTTAGGCAATATTGCATTTCAGGCAATAGTATTTTTTTTTGTCAGTTGTGAGAAAAAGGCAGTTAAGTTATTTGTTAGGTGAAAGGAATGAACAAAGGAAGAGCATTATAACCCTTAAAAGTGTACGTAGGTCTTTCCTTAAGAGGCATTGCAAAGACAACTAAGTTATTAGTGAATTCAGTTTCCTACACCATCAAAAGGCCCTTAGAACCTGGAGGAAACCAACAGGAAGAGGTTAGCGACCTGCACAGAGAGACTGGCATCCTGAACCAAAAAGGCTACCACGACTTTTTGCAGTGCCGTGCAACACCCTCTGGTCTACACCTAGTGGATCAGGTCACCCTACAGTAAGATAATGACCCAGTATCTCCCATCTACGTCAGAACTATCGTAGAAGAGAACATTCCTTAATGCGCAGTCTATGGATTTAAACCCCATTGAGCTGGTTTGGGATGAACTGGGCTGAAGCGTGAAAACAAAGCAGCCTGCAAGTGCAACACATCTATTGGGATTTATGCAACAGAGTGGAGAAGAGATTTTCAAATGGGATTTGATTTCCATTGTAGAAAGGATGGCACCAGTATGTTCGCCTATTATGCAGGCAGTCCCCGGGTTAAGAAATTCTGACTTATAGGCAACACATACTTATGTACGGCCTGCCATTAAGCCTATTGTATTAAAAATTCAGGATACATACAATGGGTTGTAATGACAAATGCATGCACGGTTCATTGGCTTGATGTACAGTATTGTATGTAGCGACTTTTATTACTGTGTAATGTACTGTCATTTCCTACATACTATATTCGACATAAAGACACTTGGGGAATGGAACTTGTTTGTAACTTGGGAACTGCCTGTATCTGCAAAAGGTGGCTATAGTTGGAATCAACTTTGGATTAAATTGTTAAATCAATTCCATGATTATTTTTGTTTATTTAAATCTGTTTTTATTTGTACCATGCTTGGGAATGCTTTTCATTAACTGCACCTTCATAATGCTTTTATAATGCAACAGACATGATAATAATCATAACGTTTATTAATATTCTTAAGGCTGTTAAAGTATGTTAGAATGTTAAGGTATATTTATATTCTGCTAATGGGTGTTCTATGAATGCATTATGAAAATGCAGTTAATGTAAAGTGTCACCCTGTGTTTTAATTTCAGAGTGCACTGAGACATTAAACTGCGTTAATTTCAGTAAGAACTGGAAGTAATGAGGGGTTCTTAAACATTTGGTCAGTTGTATATATCTATAGGGCCCCTTTGGGTTTGTCAGGATAAGCGCAGAGAGGCTGGCCTGTATCCAAGTGTGATGTCATTGTAAGCAGGCCTATTGTCTGCGCTTCGCTGCTTCCCCACAGCTGAGGGTCAGAGGTCACATTCAATTTGCAGATCCACCCCTGCTGTTCTTTGGCAAAGTCAAGTGTGTTCATTTTACCATCGTTTTCTCACACCCTCAGAGCTCTCTGTTAGAGCCTTTATTTTCTAAACTGCTTTCTGTTTTCCCATCTTCATCTCAACTAATTTCAGTAATGGTTCCCTCTTCTCTGCTTGCAGCAAACACTGATTTACTTCAGCGTTTCTTTGCTAGTAATGAGCAAGTGATGTTTTTTGTGACGTTTCCTGTTACAGCAGACAGGTTAGTCGATGTCTTTCTGCTCTCACAGGAAGTCTTTTGAGTTTGAGGATGTCGTGCAGTTTACGGGACAGGGGACAGTGACAGACGAGCTTCAGCCATCGGACATATACCATGCTTTGTCGAATGACAATGTGTACGAGGACATAATACGTGAGTGTCTCCCTTCGGTTCTAAGGCTGGGTTCTAGGGAAATGAGGCTTGTGGTCCTTGATGGGCTCCTTCTTCACTCACAGATTAATCGCTATGTTTAAATAACTGATTGGATAGTAAGTGAACTCATCTGGTGTTGTAGATGCATCAACTGCAATTCCAGGAATGATTAAAATATATTTTAATACCTGCAGGTTTTCTTCATTCAGCTGTTGGGTTTGTGCTCTCTAATTGTACATGCGCGTCTGTTCTTCATCGAAATATGCATATTTGTCGTTTTAGTGCATTTGAAGCCAACCTAACAAAATTCAATAACGTCAAACTGATTGTCAAACATTTTGGTACTTTGGTGATGATTCTTTAGAAAGTCAAAAAGGGCTGGTGGTCAAACATGCCGATAAGCTAAAACTTTATGACCACCCCCGTGTTAAGAAAGTAATGTTGTCCGGTGTAAAAATGGTGCATGTCAAGGTCTGGGATATATTACACGGCAAGCCAACATATGGTACTGTAGTGGACATGTTGAATACAGAAGAAATGGCCAGGGGTGAAGATCTGACAAGGGCCAAGTCATTTTGGCCTGGTGACTGGGTCAGAATATCTTTGAAATGGCAAAGCTTGTAGTGTGCTTGCAGTGTTGGAACTGGACCTTGGAGAAATGGAAATAGGTCGACCACTCTGATGAATCCTATTCTATGTTGCCTTAAGTGGACGGCTGGGTTGCAGTCAAGCATTTGTGAGATGCGTTGGACCAACAAGACACACAGCCCCATACACAGACAGGGCTTCATGCACTGTGTCTCCTGACAATATTCTCGTGACCGTCATTTAGATTGCAGGTAATGTTTGCCACAGTAGCCCTTCTACTGGTTTGCAGCAGACTGGACAGCCTTCATTAACATCTTGCATCAATGCGTCTTAGCTGCCCAACACCCAGTTGGTGGATCGTGGTTTTTTTCCTCCTCAGATCGCTCTTAGTAGGTACTCAATAGGTTGACCATAAGCACCCCACAAACTTTGACGTTTCTGGGATGCTCTGATCCTAGGAGTCTTTCCTCCTGACCATTTATTTATTCTACGAGTACCGAATGTTGGTTTACTATGTAATATGTCCCAGACCTTGATATGTGCCATTTTTACAAGATAGTTAACGCTATTTGCTCTTTTTCTTTTTTATTATCTCAAGAGTTATTTTTTTCTGGGATTTATAGACACAAAAGGTAGCAAACCTATACACACAAACACCCCCCCCCCTTGATTTGCATGGTAATGTTTCCTATTGTTCTCTTGTGCCCCTGGGCTCTTCCTCATCAGAGAATTCATATGAGGACGTGAAGCTATTTCCAATGTGTCTGCCGCATGGCCGCCCAGCCCAGAGAGACAGATGCCGGACTCCCCAGGTAACCATCTGGATTCAGTTAATCTTTAAGAAGTTTACGCATGACCTGTAAGAGTATTTAAAGTTATACTGTAAATCAAAAATCAGATTTGGATATATACGAATTAGGTTAAAATAACAAATGACATTGGAAGTTAGCAACATTATTAAAGTAGTTAATATCCCAGCTAAACTGTTTAGAGGTGTATTAAAACACAGCACTGAGTTTATTTTCATTGAGGACTGGGTTATCCCATTATGCTGGCGCAGGAGTAAACCAAATGGTAACACTTTACTTAAAGCTCTCATCTATAATGCATTATAGATGCCTTCTTAAAGCATTATAATGGTCAGTATAAGAATTAAGGATGCTTTGTACTGCATTACAAAGGTACCGTATCTATAACAGTGCTTCAAAAAAACAGTACTCGGGGACCCCAGTACGGTCCAGGGAATTGGGAGAGAGCAAAAACGTGGACCGTCTGGGGTTTCCTGAGGACTGGTTTGAGAAACACTGATTTACAGTGCATTATTGATGAAAGCTTCATAAAGCATTCATAATGCGTTATAAGCATGGCTATAATATGTTATGCCTTTTTAGTAATATTTACAGACATGTTTTTAATGTCTTATAATGTGTTGAGAATGTGTTCATAGATTCTTATAGACATTGCCTTCATAGAAAGTGTTGCCAAACAAATCAATATTAGTATTTTGTAGTTGGTTAGAAAACCAAAATATGCTCAGTGGCCAGATATACTTCAAAACAGCCATTCCGCGCTCTGCTCTTGTACTGAGCTGTTATTTATGCACTTGATACTGTTAGCTTTAATCTGTCCGGCCAGTCTGCTCTATTATTAACGAGGTGTTTTCACCCACAGAACTGCCCTTAACTGGGCTTTTTGAATTCACACCATGCTCTGAAATCTCTGTATATACTGGGTATAGGGCTGTTGCTATTGGTTATACACCGATCAGCAATAACATTAAAATGGCTCTAATAAGTTAGTAGGAGGTCAGTACCTGTCCTGTAGCTTATTCAGTGTTGCAGTAACAAGACAGGATTGCAGGGTTCAAATCCCAGGAAACATGTAAAAATAGTATCTCTTCCCTCTACTATAAGTCTTCATGGATAAAAACATCATGCAAAACATAAAATAACACTCTGTGGCCTCTCCATACCATTAATGTGTCTACATGTCACATTTAGGACTCTGAGCATTCAGGTAAAAACACATCTGTTAACTTTCACATTTCTAGGTGATCCACACAGTACTTCTAGAAATTGTACGAGTTGGTGAGTGTGGGACGAGTACAGATTAGATGGGCAGGCCAAATGACAGGGCTGTCCAGGGAATACAATGCTGTTGTTTCCCACAGCACCAAACCTGGTTAATATTATATGGTTATGTACCCTATTATGTAAGAAGATGTGGCTCAGTGATGGGGCCACTCCAGGCACTTCTCTTGATAGCATGGTAACTCAAAAAGTATTTAATGGAAACTTTGCAGACACTTTGTATAGGTGAAGAACTATAACTGAGTAAATTTTGAGACAAATTGCAGTCTCAGATACTTTATTTCAGGAAGATTGTGTAGGTGATGATCTGGAGTCTATTTCATTTTGAGACAAATAGCTAAATTGAAGCAGTGTCATTTAGTTGTGGCACGTGAAAGAACAGCCATGGACGCAGATCTGGTAAGCCTGATTACACTGAGAGACAGATCTTTTAAAAAAGATTTTTTGGAGAGTTGGGGAGAATGTGTAGGGGGGCTAAAGATTGTACTGTAGAAGCTGGTGGGTGTGAGTAGGGATTAGATCAGGGGTGGGCAATCTTATCCACAACGGGCCATGTGTATGCAGGTTTTGCCTGTTTCTGCCACTCCGTAAAATTTGTACTAAGGCTTGTTTTCTTTTGCATCAAACTATCCATGTTGATACGTTTTTCCCTATTTAAAGCTGACTGTGGCAGACGTAATGGCCGAACAGTTTACAGACAGATTTTGCAGAGGAACTGCATGGATCCTACTTATTAGATGGATGCATGGTTTATGTGCTTCAAGCTGGTTAGATCAACATTATCCAGTCATGTCCCCCCTATTTGGGAACCTCTGTACTGATTGATTTCGAGATTCTATCTTCTTCTTGATTATACCCTCAGGTTTTGTTGAGATGCTAGCAGTCATGGAAAAAAATCCTGTTTGGCTTGTCTTCACATAGGGGTTTTCCTATTGTGTGTTATTGCTACAGAATGTCTTATCTGGTAGATCTTGGTGAGTCTTCTTCAACAGGTAGTATATATGTGTGTGCAGAGGTGGACATTTCAGGTCCAGAAAGTAAAAATCCAGACCAAGATTTTGTTTCAACCAGCCAGTTGTGTACTCTGTGACTAACTTGTTATACTTAACTGGTTGTTTGAAACAAAATCTTGGTCTGGATTTTTACTTTCTGGACCTGAAGGATACACTTCTCTGTGTTTGGTCTAATTTAACTATGAAAGGCAACTGCGAAACAGGTGCCTTGTTTGAGGTCTTTTGTGAAATTCTCAATCCCATTAGATTCGTCCAGATGAGTCACACATTTAGTAGTGATACTCTTGAGCTGTGCACCTGCATGTTTTCCAACCATCCATTTTCTGTAACTGCTTGTCCAATTCAGGGTCGCGGGGGGTCCGGAGCCTATTCTGGAGGCTCCGGGCACAGGTCAGGGAACGACCCAAGATGGGGAACCAACCCATCGCAGGGTGCACTCACACACTATTCACTGACACACGCACACTCACGCACTATTCAGTGACACACACACTCATGCACTGTTCACTGACACACGCACACTCACGCACTATTCAGTGACTCATGCACTATTCAGTGACACACACACCTATGGGCAATTTGGCAGCTACCTGCATGTTTTGTCCCAGGTTAATACCTAAGCCAAGGGTATGCCTGAGATGCCGTGCTTTATTTCATCTTACTTTCTATTCCCTCTGTTTTCCAAAGCTTCCTCCCAAACCCTCTGTCCTGCTAGCTTCCCCTGAAAAAATGGAGAAGAGGAGCAGCCAGAAGAAAGGGCCAGCAGGTATGGCCACAGTCACGATGTCCAGACCTGCTCCTAAACCGGCAGCGCCTAAGCACCGCTCAAGAACACAGCCACTATCCCAGGTAGGTCTGCCTTTTGTTACACGCTGACATGCACTTCCTAGGTCATTGTATAGCCAGTGCTAAACGCCCAGTGCTGCACCTAATGATCTACTGGAAGCACTGATGAGCAGTGATGTAGCTGGGAAATTGTGTGTATGTGGGTGTTTAAGTGGGAAGTCGTGAGCTGCTATCCACATGTGACTGGGGTGGTTTCGGTGAGTTAGAGGAAGAAAGGGGAAGATGGTACAAAACAGGGAGCCGAGGTGTGAATGTATGAGCTCCATTGAGAAATACAGAGAGATGAAAAATCAGGACCTTCTGCTCCCAGTACTGATGAATGAGAGCTGCTGCAGTGAAGATCAACACGAAGAGGTGAGGAAAGTCAGTCTGGTGTTGGGAATCTTACTGACACTACTTTCACATTTTTGATGACAAAGTTAGTTTTTTGCCTAGTAAATTGTAGCTTCTTAGTGTTTAAAATGTTTCTATTAGCGTTAGTGGCACCATCTGCCCAGGGTACAGTATGTTAAAAGCTACAGGCTCTGGGCTACATCATTTGGTGACTTATGTTTTGTTGCGAGATTGTCACTTCTCTTGTTAGCTTTGTCAGTTTGTATTTGTTCTGTGAATTGATTAATTTAGTTTATTTAGTGGCTGGCTAGCAAGACATAAATTAGCTGTTTGTGGGTAACTAGCTTTGTCCTGTCAGTCAATACATATTTTCCTGACCTAGTTTTAAAATGGGAGTCTCTGCACTGATAGGAATGCAAAGTATGTGTGAGTGTATTGACACCTAATGTCTATGACAGTTAGATTATAAGTATTAAATCCATGTGATTGCATAAAAATGTTGTTATTGAAGTAACTGTGCTTCATTGAACTATATCAATGACTATGACTAAACACAAGCTGAATATAGTGCTTGTTGTTAATCTCTGTGGCCAACAATGATGGGAAACTTTAATATGAATGGAAGTATGAAGTGATTAGGCGCATGTGTGCAGCCCTTTGTCAGCAATGTGGCAGACCCTTGTTTGGATGGGTACAGTCTCTCCAAGATGGACCTTGCTTACTCATATCCTCCTCATATTCTGGAAATCCCCAAATGATGTTAGCTTGCAAAGATGCAATGGAGTGGATTTTTATCCTGAGCCTTGGTGGAATTGCGATGCAGATTTAGGTTGCTGTGATGTTTTACTTACTGCCTTTAATGGGAATGTTAAGGTTTGGGAAAGTGGGTGGAGCCACCATCAGCCAATCAGATTTCCCTCATTTACTTTAATTGGAAAATTTTGAAGTGCCATTCTCACACTTTTGATGGCAGGATCTCCAAACTTTCCACATTTGGCCAGTGAGTGACTGTGGTTCAAGGTTTGAAAATGAAGCAGAGCCATTCACAGCCAATCAGATTTCACTCATTGACTTCACTGGGGAAATTTAAACTTCGTACACTACTCATTGTTTAAACATTATAGACTCCACTTTAAGATTATACACTCCAAGTTGCCCAAAAAAAACTTGCAAAACTTTTTTCAACTTCATATAACTAGCTTTTTCAAGCCTATTTGAAGTTTATTCAGAAACTTCATTTTCTAGTTTTAGAAGCTGTTAGATTTTAGGACCCTACTACCCTGTGTTACTAGAGGTGTGAATTGGAATTCTGTTGACGTGGAGTCTAAGATGAAGATGGGTTGTCCAGGAGTATCATATGTTCTCTGTTGCAGTATGTGAACAAGATCCAGGAAATCTTCAACATCAAGAGGGGAAGGAAGAGATTGAGGAGTCAGGGGAGGAATGGATATGACAGCACGGTCAGGGGTGAGAGGCGTATTCATCCGTACATACTGAGACACTCATACTCATACACATACTCACTCACACATAGTAACACCTAAATTCAGTCACATACATTCAAAGTCATTTACAGATAATTATGCAATCTTGTTCTGAATGTGGATACAGGGGTAGATGAAACAGCACAAGTCTGGTTTGTCTTTATCTTTCACTCTTTTCTTATGTATCTTTTCTCTAACTTCCTTCCCTTTTTATTCATCCATCTAGAAGAAACTAGTGGGACAGATAGTGATCCTGAAGACGACAGCACAGGTCAGACACCCTAACCGTAACCAGCCGTGTCCCTCCAATTGCTTGTGAATGGAAAGTGTGATTGAAGTGTCTTACCGCTCACAATCCACAGATGCGAATAGCTGCTTTATGAAAATCCAGAACAAGATTTCGTTTCATCCAACCAGTTCAGTACTCTGTGACTGTGATTCATTATACACAACATATCGGGGGTTGAAACAAATCTTGCTCTAGATTTTGGCTTTCTCAACCTGAAATGTCCACCTCTGAAGAGAATAATATGCCCAATTAAAAAAGGTTTGCAGTGGTCATTGAAATTGCCCATCACATGCGTGTCTCATGTGTTCACAGCCCTTCCTCTCCTATGCAGTTGGGTTTTGGCTTTATAGTGATTATTGTGTGCTTTTCCCAGGTAGGCGACGGCGGTGTGTGCATGTACAGTCCACACTGCGCAGGAGCCCGCGGTACAGCACACTGGAGCGAGACTTAATCTGTCTACAGCAGCAGCAGCTCTTCCAGCTCTTTGCAGTGGTTTCACTGCGGAGGAGTTCCCCAGGGAACACATACAGACCTGAGATTACACAGCAGTTTCCCAATAAGGTACGGAGGCTCTACTCTACTCTCAGTTCCTGTATGTTCCTATACTGTCATGCCCATACTCACTCACGTTTGTGTTCAATTTGACTGGTCATCATGGCCGTGGTTGATTCCTGTGACTCCCAATCCCAGGTCCAAACACTGTCTTGTTTGCTCATATGTGCAGAGTTACAGACATTTTCATAGTATTTTAAACATGCATATTTAAGGACAGATATATCTGAAGTATCTCAGAATGCGTCTTAAATATTTTTATAGTATTTTTTTTGCATAGTTAACATGTATGCATTTGCTTTTTTGCTATTCTAAAATATAAACGATTGTGGATTGGCATTTATATAAAAATAGAGTAGTCTTTCAATTTTATATAATGCACTTAAAGAATACTGTAGGTAGTATAATTCTAATAAAGTATAAAGTTTAAGTTAGAAAAATATTTACCTATCTACTATAGTTGTTCACTTATATGTATCGGTAACGTTAGGTTTTTCGTACATATATGTTACATTTATCATTTTGTGCATAAATGAACCTAATCTAATGTTTTTCTTCTAATTCTGGAAATTCTGCCCATCAGTTTTATCTCACTCTTCCTTCCTTTCTGGCCTAGTTTGAGAAGTCATCTCGTCATTCTCGAGAAACTGAAGACAGGTTGAAGGCCATTCCCAAGTTCTGCTTCCCCGACTCTCAGGACTGGCGGCCCTGCGGAGAGCTACCAAGGTCTGGCTGGGAACCCTAACCCTATGTGGCTCTGCTCCAAATTTGTTGTTCTGCTGGATTTCCTCAGCAGCTTATGTTATTGTTGTTCTGTAGTGGCCAAATAGTACAATGGTGTTTTTTATTCGGATGATAAAAACTGACTTTTTAGATTCAAAGTTCACATTGTAATATTTGTGTGTGGGATATTAAATTGATTGAAAAAATGGATCAAATTACTATTGCAGTAGAGTAATTAATACATTCAAGTGTTTGGATTTCACACTGGGCCACCATTTTACTTTGCCCTTAACTTAATAAGCACAATGGCCTGAAGACATCCAAAGTATTAATGGAGATTTCCTAGTAGCATACGTTGGTCGTTCTGAAATTACCACTCTGTACTTAAACGTGGAAGTCTGTATTTTCAAGGCATGCAAAAGGTGGTTCCTCTCTTTTTACAAGCCAGTCAGACTCTGATCAAACATAGGTCTGTGTGATAAATGTATATGAAGCCCATATTAGCTACTTCCACCCCAGCCTGTTTCAATAAGCAACATTTTACAGTCTCAAGTAATTTTTCTTCTTTTCTGCAGTGAAACTTTTTCCTTCGTTCTGACTGGAGAAGATGGAAGCCGATGGTTTGGTTACTGTCGAAAGATCCTGGTAAGTAACTGGTAAGTAAGGGCATGTGTGTTTATGGGTCATAAAGTGTCCGTCAGTGCTTGTCTGATAGCTTTGTGTGTTTGTGTTGCAGCCCAGTGGAAAGGGAAAGCGGCTTCCCGAAGTTCACTGTATCGTCAGCAGGCTAGGGTGCTTCAACCTGTTTGCTAAGGTAACCTGTGTGCTCATTATGTGCGACATAATACGGTATATACGGTATATATAAGGGTATATACTACCCTGTGCAAAGCAGTATTCATTTTACTGATGAAAACTGACAAAAATTGTCAAAAAAATAAAATGAGGCGGGAATAAAATAAAAGTTAATTTATGACGGCAAAAACTATGATGAAATGTAATGACACTTTTGTCAAGGAATAAAATTTAAATGATAAACTGATCCAGTCAGAAGTAGTATCTTTAGGTAGTGTTGATCGTTTATGTGCATGATTGGATAATGTTAATCTCACTGGTTTCAAGCATGTAATCCATGCAGTTCTGTCTTTATAGTCTGTCTGAGAACTCCTTATGTCTATGCTAGGCTTGGGTGAATTTTATCATGGGGGACTATAATGCTGCTGTGTAATTTCTGGATGGTATGATGGTATGAAAAATTAGATGCTATCCAAGCCTGGTCTGTGTTACAGACAGCTTTAGTTAGGAAAAACATACTGACATATGGATCAATTTCACATTTGATGCGAAAGAAAACAAGATGTGGAGAGGCAGTAATGGGGACAGTCTCCACAAATTTGAAACACAATGAAATGTATAAAAACATGTAGTTGATTTTCCTTTTAATGTCTTTGAAAAATTCACTGTTATGATCTGAACTAGATGTTGAAATAAACATGACCCAGTTGCTTTTCACTAGTCTGGTACTTGTTCCAGCAAACACATAATTCCTAAATTACTGAGGAAATTCCTCAAAATGTTACGACTGGATCAAACGACAATGACCGTTGACAGACCTAGCAGAGAAGGGGGCAATGAAGTGGACGGTGTCCATCCCAGCCTCCCATTTCCACTATCCTCCAGACTAACCTCCAAATGACACCACTGCATCGACTCTCAAAAGGTCCTTCAAGAGTGCAGTGTGTTCTACTTCACCGAGACCTGGTGTAGACAGTGCAATACATCCCCTTCACTGTACACCATTGGAAACTCATTACAGAAACCAGTGGCAAGACAAAGGCAGCCAGTGTGTGTTTCTTTATTAACATCAATTGGTGCAATAATTTGCAAGCGGTTTCCAAGTGCTGCTCAACAGGACCTGACCACGAAGTTCCAGCCATTCTACCTGCCAGGAGAGTTTTCCTCAGGGCTTCTTACCACTGTTCACATTTCGCTGGAGGCTCTGGCTGTATGCTGCCATTTTTGTAAGCGAGAACCAGCACCCAGAAGCTATCTCTGTCATCGTTGCTGCAAACCAAAGATAATCATTCTCAAGTACCATCAGCATATCATCTGCCCCATCAGGGGTGACCAGACTTTCAACCTCTGCTACACCACATTCAAGGGCAAGTCCATTGCTTGTCCGCGCCTAGGCACGTCTGACAACTTCCTGGTACTTCTACTTCCAGCCTACAAGCAGGAAATGAAGCGTGACCGACAGGCTACCAGGGAAGTACAGTGCTGGACACCCAAAGACACATCCAAACTTCAAAACTGCCTCGATTGAACTGATGGACCTGTTTTTAACAGAGGTGGGCAGTTCAGGTTTAGAGAGTAAAAGTCCAGACCAAGATTTTGTTTCAACAGACCATTAGAACACTCTGACTATGACTCTTTATATTCATCTGGTTGTTTGAAACAAAATCTTGGTCTGGATTTTTACTTTTTGGACCTGAACTATCCACCTCTTCTCTTCAAGGTCTCCTTGGGGACCCAGAATGAGTATGCTGACGGGCTGTGTCAGGTTCTGCATGGACTTGTGTGTGCCTTCCCAGACTGTCCTTTCCTATTCCAACCAGAAGACATGGATTAACTGTAAAAGGGGTGGTTTACTTATCCAGCTTATTAAACCTTTTTTCTACTTGTATTTGTCCATCTGAAATTGAGGAAGCAGTCCATGGCTTTCATTTCTAATGATATGGACCAGTACAAAACTGCCAGATACGAAACTATGGGGGACTGTTAATTTGACAAGGAATAGGCACAGAAGTTGGAGAGCAACTTCAGCAGCTGCGATCTGCTTTACTTATGGAAAGGACTCCCTGCAAAAATCGATTGCATAATCTATTCAGCTGCACTTAGACACCTCTGTCTTGATTCCAGTTGTGCTGAACTGCTTCTGTGCTCCATTTGAGCACCACAGCTTGGATGTGGGAGGTCTGAAGGTATCTCCAGCCCTAGGAACAGCTCTACAAGTGTCGGAGGCTGACAGTTATATTTCACAAAGCGTCCTGCTATGTGTCCTGGAAGCATTTGCCAAACCGCTGACTCGAGTGTACGCTAACACCTTCGACCTTTCCCTGTCTTAGTGCATTGTGGTACAGTGCTTTAAGGAGGTCACAGTCATGCCTATGCCAAAGAGAGCTATTGTTTCCTGCTTAATCAACTATCATCCTGTCGCTTTAACCTTTGTAATCATAAAGTATCTGGGGAAACTGGACATGTTGCACGTCAAACTCAACATCCCTGCAACCTCGGACCCACACCTGTTTGCATTCCAGTGTAACGGATCCATGGACAATGCTGTCTCCCTTGCACTGCACACTGCACTGGGATATTTAGAAAATGTCATCAACATTGACTGTCAGCACTGGAATGGTTTTAGCAGTGTGTAAACTCGAATGTTGGGGCCGTTTTGATTTTTACATTGGACTTATGCTTAGCTGGGCCACCCACTGAGGCTGCATTTTCAAGAAGGTTCAGCAGACGCTACTCCTCTTGTGAGAGCTTTGAGTTGGAAACCAGTACCGTGGTGAACTATGACTGCTGCACCGTTGAGAGAATCCTGTCTGGATGCAGTATGGTGATAATTGTGCACATTCATTTGTGAATGAATTGTTGACAGTTTCCCCTGAAAAAGACCAATCTCACTTTTTCATTCTATGAAATTCTTGGATTCACCGATAACATTGTATCTGTTAAAAAATAAAACCAGTCCTGAAAATCGACACTTGCCTAATAATTATACAAGCTGTGTGCGTGGCTGCGTACTGTAGGTTCTGGAGGAGGTGGAGAGGCGGAGGGAGATCTCGCCGGCGCTCGTTCAGCCGTTCATGCGCAGCGTTATGGAAGCACCCTTCCCTGCTCCTGGACGCACCATCACTGTCAAGAGCTTCCTCCCTGGTTCTGGGAATGAGGTAGGGAGTGGATGTGTACCCAGCTGGCAAACAGGCACCCAGTGCTGCACGCATGGTACAGGTGAGAGCTTGGCGGGTGTGGTGTGCGTCCCCTGCAGGTGCTGACGCTGTGTCGGCCTGTGGATTCACGCCTGGAGCACGTGCACTTCCAGAGCCTGCTGCAGTGCCTCAGTGTTGGTCACCTTCTGCAGGTGTTTGCCTCCCTGCTGCTGGAGAGGAGAGTGATCTTCATCGCAGACAAACTCAGGTACCCATAATTTATGGCTCCACCTATGCAATGTGTACTGATTTGTACTTATTTTCCCTACTGTACATTAAAGACGTTATCTAAGGCCTGCCTTCGGTTTACCTATTGTATCACAACAAATTAATTTTTCAGGAATAAATCTAACATTTTCAAAATGACATTTTAGGTCAATATGTTAATTGCGTTTTAAGTATTGTTTGTAGTCCTTCAGGCAAATGTTTATTAAATTAGTTCTTTTGAATTTGGCAATAATTTAAATATAAACCCACTGACCTCTTTATTAGGTATATCTGTAAACTTTCTTGTTCGGTTCAATTCAGTTTGTTTTTCTGTAGTGCCTTTCACAACAGGAGCCCCAAGGCATTTTACATGGGGGTGTTGTGATACATTGCTACATCAATTATACAGAATAATACATGAAAAGGGAAGACACACAGAAGCCAGAGGAGAGGAACCAAAACTCCAGAGTAGGGAGGGGGAAAAAAACTGGGGGGGTTCCTAGGTGAACGTCAACTTTTTGAGTTATGAGTAATACTAGCTAATACCGTAATTGCAAGTATTGTGTACTAAAACAAAAGCATCACTGTAGTATAGGGTAAAACATTGTGTAGCTTGTCACCTGGATATGTTTTGTTTTGTGTAGTGATCGCTCTCTGCCCCCCCCCCCCCCCCCAGCACTCTCTCACACTGTGCCCACGCTGCCCTGGCACTGTTGTACCCTTTCACCTGGCAGCACACGTTTGTGCCAGTGCTGCCTGCCAACATGCTGGACATCTGCTGCTCTCCCACACCCTTCCTGATGGGGGTGCTGTTCTCTTCTCTGCCCCAGCTGTTGGACCTTCCCATAGAGGAGGTCAGTCCTTCTAATTTCAGCTCTAAAAGGGGTGGTTTACTTATCCAGCTTATTAAACCTTTTTTCTACTTGTTTTTGTCCATCTGACTTTAAAATGGTTCATTCCCTAAGGGCCTTAGCTTATTGCTAAAGTCACAGTTTAGTGCACATCATTTAATTTTAGTCTAAGGAAATGCCTGAAAGTCATACTGTTCACATCCTGCTGTGTTAGCAGCCATATCGCCCATTTCCGCGGTTCTGTCTTCAGGAAGTCATGCGCTGGCTTTTTCCTGCAGGTATTGATCGTGGATCTGTGCATGGACAAGTTCGTCAGACAGGTATGTTGGAAGGGTGCAGCTATAGTGCTGGAAGAGCACAAGAGAGGAACATGAGCCTAGTGGAATATTCGTTTCTATTCAGTTTTCTTTTTTTTTTTTGTGTCTCATAATGGTGTTTCCAGAGAACAACACGGCAGTACACTTACAGACATATAAAAGCATTCCGATATGACTGTGCAATATCACATCTCCATATATGGAATATCCACAATTAATACTGTGATATTTATAAAACTGAATAGGAGGTGAAACTACCCAAAATAAACTATAGCCAAATAGAACTTATTCTGCACGAAAAGTGTCTCAGATACGTTGGTGGTGTTGCTGCGAGCTGTCAACAGACACAAAGCAGCACCAGCCAATGCGATGTGATAATTGCGCATGGGCGCATTACGATGATGATGTAGAAACCTTATACCGTGCAGCTCTGATACGAAAGGTACTTCTATCCTGTTATCCTCCTCTTCCTCCTCATTGCAGTTGGGTGATGAGGACTGCATCCTGCCCAGCAAGCTGCAGGCTGCCCTGCAGCACATTTTGGAGCACAGGCAACAAATCATGGGGCAGGCAGAAGGCGCCAGTGGATCAGGTTGGTACAACACTGGGGTCTGCTGTGGCACCTGAGACAAAAATCATGAACCCAGACACTTGTTGAGTCATTGAGCCGCATGGTGTGAGTATTTTAGTGAGTGACGATGAATATAACATTATGATCTACTGTAACTGAGCATAAAGTAATCGACATTTATATATAAACACATTCAGTCCAAAGTCACTTGGCTTCTGAATCATCCAGCACATGCTAGCTAGGAATGGGACCAATCCGATACCCACTATCCGATACCCACTATCCGATACTGACAAAAAAATGCCGAACTGGATATCAGAGGAGAGTGAGGGAGGAAGAACCCCATCTGGTTTTCCTTCAGAGATCGGTCTTGCTTGAAAAATCTCAAGAATGCTTGTAATCTTCAGTTGTGATTTTATAAACTGAAGCTGAGGGGGCATCTTCTATGTGTGCAAGTCAGCTCTTCTGTGGGAGTCCAATAGCAGAAGGCCTTTTTTTTAATACAGTAGTTTAACAATTTCTTGATCTTTCCATCTGATATAACAAAACCAGGAAAAGTCTGATAACTATTTGAAACTGATACTATTTTCCCAATGAAAAACTCATTGCTCGTAATAGCTGTTGGAACCTGTGGGTATAATGTTCCTTACTAACCTGGACACAGATTTTTGTTGTTTTTTATCATCCTGGAGGGATATAAGAACCTTACCATCACTTGGGCATGTCTGTTTCTTAAAAGGCTCGCTTTCACACAACACTGAAAATGTTTAACTTGGACATCACTTACATTCTAGTTTGCACGAAGCTTGTTTAAGATCACATGTATGACCAGTTTACCAGATGCATATTTATCATCTTTACATCTTTTAAGTCTTGTCGTCTTAATCAGAGCAACCGGGGCAAGGATGCTGTGACGTAAATGCAGAATATTTATAGACACCTGTACAGATTCACTGAAGGTCTCATCAGTCAGGCTGAATGACTTAAAGAGTGATAACAAAGGCTTCTGCCACCAGAGCAGTAAGAGAATGACTGGCACTGTACTTGGGGTAACAAACTTTAGTTGGACCTCAAACATTAGAAGAGAATGATCTAAGTCTGCAGGATTTGGAGGAAGAATAGATGTTTCACAGAAATTCCACGACAAAGGATCAAATCTAGAGTGTGACTGCAGCAATGAGTACCAGTAGGTCCCACTACATTCTGCAGGACACCAGAAGAGTCAAGAATGGAAGCAAAGGCTATCGTCAGAGGAGTATAGTCATTTTACATATTTTTTCATTCCCAATAATCACAGCTTCATCTGTACTCACAACCATATTAGCTAGAAAGTCTACAAACTACTACCTAAATCTTGACAGGGGTATGTGGCATAATGACATCATTTATACAAAATGACACGTGAAACAGGGGAAAAGAAAGAAAGACACAGACACAAGCAGACAGACAGACATGAGGAACCAAAACAAAAAAATTGGGAGGAAAAAAAACCTCTGGGGGTGCAAGTCTGGCTGGCTGCCCCCCCCATGCTAGCATTGTAGATAAAGGAAAATAATCAGCCTCTCTTAATAAAAGCAAAGGTATAAACTGAGGTCATGGTCAAAGTCCCCCAGTGAGTCAGTGCTGCAGATGGTAGGGTGCACCTTACANAGAGACTCATCTGACCTTACAGAGAGACTCATCTGACCTTACAGAGAGACTCATCTGACCTTACAGAGTATAATGCATCAGAATCAGAATCTTTATTTGCCAAGTACAAACAGTACAATAAATTTCTTTTGGTGCAGGTGGTGGGATGATATATCCAGGAAACAGAGTTAAATGCAATAAACACAAAAAAGCACAAGAACTAATAATGAGGAGAATAGAACTGGCACACTCACCAACCTGCGCAATTTCTAGAAGTATTGGATGGATCACCTGGAAGTGTGAAAGTTAATGAATTGTATTTTTACCAGAATGATACGGAGACATTGAGTAATAAAACCGTATTATGCAAAGTGCCACCTCTTCTTTTGTTACTTGATTTATTTGGTCCATCACTCTGCAGATCATTAGAGGTGAAGCCCCCCCCCCTTTTTCTGTATTTTCACCTGAAGTCCTTCTGATGTAGGTCTGAAACTATACTTATTCATTTATTTCAAATTCCACTTGTACATATGAAGCCCTGGCGGGGCCACCATTTACTATTTTTTATTTAAAAAAAAATATATATATATATATATATGTACATGTAACTCTATTACCTGATGCTTTTATACAAAAAGACTTACAGTAGAGGGAAGGGCTACAATTTAGGTTTGCTCCCAGGGATCTGAACCCATGAACTTTGCATTTTTGATACAATGCTTTATTAGGCGTATCAGACTATTTTTAACTCTTGGCTCTTTCACCAATTCTTTGCCCACAAAACAACAAGGAAGACTGGCAAACAAGTGATTGTATCTGGCCTGATGGCGGGACGCCTTTTGAATGGTTAAATGTGGTTAATTGCTGTCACACTCACAGACAGACTGCTACAGATTTAACTTGCCATTTGGGGAGGCTAGCAACTAAAAATCAATATAAACTTTATTACAGGATTATCAGAAAACCATCTCAGGTTCGACAGTTTTAGAATGCCTGACCTGTGCAGTGTTCCTGGGAAGTTTGCAGAAAGATTCACAGAATAAATTTATATGGCACATGGCTCTTGGTTGCCCTCTCTTGAAAGTTCCAATTTTGCTCCCCTCTGTCATTGCAGTTACAGGTTTGGATCTGATCATGTGCACATTTTTATGTGTAGATTATCAACCTTGTAAGGTGAAGTGATGATAAGGTTCATCAAAGATCCAATGGGGTACATGCAGTGAATCAGTGCTTCTCAACTGGTAGGACGTAGCTTAATAACAGGCCGCAAAATTGTGTCGGGGAAATGCAGTTCAGTCCGTAATGGGTTGCTGCACAGACTTAAACTCAGTCACCAACCAGGAAAGTTTCCTAGTCAGTCGATAAGGAACCATGCTTGATAGCTCACATCAGCCTATCACATCACAGGAAATGCTATTTCAGCTAATCATATCATAGTCTTTTAAGAATGGACAACCTATGCCAAACAAGGTTGATTTGAGTTTGTGGAGCATACATGTTTTGGTATTATCATAGAAGAAATAAGCACTCCCTCAGAGGAAACTTCAGTTGTTGATGAAGAAGGCGAATGGATGACAGAGGTCAGAGAAGAATGGCCAGATTGGTTCAAGCTAATAGAAAAGCAAAAGCAGATGGGCTACAATAGCTGTAGATCACACCAGGTGCCACTCCTGTTAGCTAAGAACAGGAATCTGTGGGTATGGGCTCACCAACATTGGACAATGGAAGACTGGAAAAACATGCTTGGTCAGATGAGTCTCAATTTCTGCTGCAACATTCAGATGACAGGGTCTGAATTTGGCATAAACAATATTAAAGCATGGATCCATCCTGCCTCGTATCAATAATTCAGGCTCATGCTGGTGGTGTAATGGTGTGGGGCATGTTTTTGGCACCTATGAGATGTGATGGAACAGGAGGTTCACATCAATGAAGGTGCAAGCAACAAATCTGCAACTGTAGCACGTGATTTTCTGTGGAATGATTGTATAAGTGCGGAGGACATGTCATCATGGACCAGAGTCTCTAAGGAATGCTTGAAGCACCATATTAAATCTGTGTCATGAAGAATTAAGGAAGTTCTGGGGGCAAAAGGGGATCCATCTCAGTACTAGCAAGGTGTACCTAATGAAGTACCCAGTGAGTGTCTTTTTACAATGTGCAAATATGTGTCTTTTGTTATTCAGACCTGTCAACAGATGCATTGTCTTTGATTTAGAAATCTTCCAAATCATGTTTGCAGTTTGAATTATAAATAATTTCAAAACAATTTCTCGGCTGTACTGAAATTGCATTGTACCGTGACCTCAATACTGAGGTCTGTACCGAACCATGAATTTTGTCTACCGTTACACCCCTAGTGATTATCAACAGTGAATAAAATACTTGTATTTGCTTTAATTTTAGCAGAAGCTTTTGTCCAAAGTGACATACAAGCAAGGCAGCCAGTACATTGCAAGCACTTAACATTGTGTAACAACTATGCAAATAGTTAATGTTGCAGAGATGAAAGGTACACAAGCAAATTTTCAAGCCAAATAGCAGCACACGGATTTTGCCCTTTGTAATATTAATTTTATTTGTTTTTGTCTCCTTGTCTCTTGCCACTATGACTATGGCGCTCAGATGAAGAGCAGACCCTGAACTCACTCATATCGGAAGCATTTGTGCACTTCTTTGTGGAACTGGTGGGCCACTACAAATCACACATGAGCGAGGCCGCAGGCCGGGCGCGGGAGCTGCAGCGGGAAGCGTTCCGCAAGTCGCATCCCTCGCGGGGGGCCCGCCAGTTTCTGCAGCTCTTCATGGAGACACAGATGTTTGCTGGCTTCATCCAGGACCGGGAACTGCGCAAGGGCGGTGTGACGGGTCAGACCTGGAGTCTTTTATTACAGCCAGGAATTTTCTTAGGGAATTTCTTAGCGTACAGTACAAGAGAAGACAAACTTATTGCATCAGACATCAGTCCGGTTGTGATTAGTGTGTTATATCAGTTCAGTTCAAGTTCCAAATATCTTTTTGGACAAAAAGGACATTGTCTTACATAATACGTAATTTATTAAATGTGTCATTAGCTATTGTAGCTATTAATCAAGCCTCAAATGTTTAGCATATTATTACCAGAAAGAAACATTTGGTGTTTCTGCAGAAGAATGGCTCCATTTTGTGTAGTAGGGCACAGTGGTTTTGGTCAGAGTAGATGTGTGTGGCTTTTTCCAAGAGGATGACTAAGCCTTCCTTCCCTTACAGGACTATTTGAACTGAGGGCTGTGGAACATCTGAACTCAAACCCACAGCCTGAGCCCACTGGAGTGAACAGGTTCATCAAGGGACTGGGTAAGTGAGCCCGTCTTTCTCACACATCATTCCTTGTCCACTGTGCTTGCAGCAGAAACTATATTTGGTTAATTTTGCTTGATCCTGTTTTCAGGGAATAAGATGAAGTTTTTGCAGAAGAAGTAGATTGGTGATTTGGTTTGCGTGCCACAATGAAGAGACTGACTGAACAGGCCTGCACTTCCAATTCTCAGCATGTGATCCAGTTTCTCAGGTGCAGCCTGAGCTCAGCCACACATGACCTGTATGACTCGCCCTGAGCTTAGGGGGAGCTGTGAATGACACCTGCTGATATGAGAAAAGCAGGACTTTGCACATTCCCCTCATAAATCCATTCAGCATTGGTCCAGATTTAAGTGAGCAGAAAGAAGAGGTGAAACATGCTGGCATGAATTTTCTTCTATGTCATCTCAAAGCGCAGATAAACTGGTATTTTGTTGTACGGGAGAAGCAGGCCCCAGTCTGCAATGCATGTATTCTCAGGCTACAAACAGTGCTGAAAATGCCTTTGACTTTTATTTTATGTCACTGTTTATGCCTTAAAGCTGCTAGCCTCAGTTAAATTTTGCAACATTGTCTTAATATGTACATGCCTCAAAACTGATGAAGCACAAACACTTTGTAATTAAAAAAAAAAATTTATCTGCAGGTTGGTAAGCACAGCGACGCAGTGGGCTGAGGGCTTTAACTCCGCGGTCTGCATCTGTGGACAGTTTGCATGTTCTCCCTGTCCACACTGGTTTCAACTGAATACTTCAGTTTACCGAAGTTAGGTTAGTGCAGTGGTCCTAAAGGTGGTCCCTGGACCATTGGTGGTCTACGAGCGTCTGCTTGGTCTGTAGGCTCACAGTCATCTCTCTTAAAGCTGTTTAGGACAAAGGAAAGAAAAAAAGTATTTTACAGAAGTCTGAATTATTGTGGACTAGTTCTTTCTTTTTCCGCCGGTGCCAATTTATTGTGTTTTACATTTATGCACCAAACATTAAATGATGTCACACATTTAGAACAAGATGGTCAGTTTGCTGGTGGCATCCTTGCAACTCTGCAATAACCCGTGATGTGATCTAGTGGTTCTGCTGTTTGTTTTGATGCATGAGTGTGATTCAACCGTTGCACTTACTATTGTTAATACCATTTTGTAAATCCATATTATATTGTGAATAAAGTTTTTGTTTATAATATGCTGGACTTGCTGTATGACGTGGCTGAAGCACCTGTTACCATTCCCAACAACTTGCAGTCATGAGCTTGGGTTTTCAACAGTTGTCGAATTGAACTGAAAAAGAAAATAAATCAACTGGACATTGAACCTGACATGTTGGATGTAGATATTGCTTCTGTAATTGTTCACCATTCTTTACATTAACTATATATTTATTTTTTAAATTTCAAATTTTTAATTTACTTTTAGTACATTGAAGTTATGAGAGGTAATACTATGTGGTTTGTGTCAAAATGATTGATGAGCATCAGGTGTTTGGGGGGGGGAGAGGGTCAGCTGGGGGTCAGGATATAAAGTGGCATTCCGAAAACTGCCCATCACATCACACATTCCAGTCCCAAAAACAAAATGGCACCAAAAAGAGCTGAGGTGTCAGGGCCTTTTCCAGATTAGACCCTTCCCACTCCACCAGAGTGCACTCTCTTTGTAATCACACTCACAGCTGAAGGGAGTTCCCTTCATTAAGGTATAGGGCGTGAATACAGCGGCAAGCTCAGGGACAAACTTCCCTTTCTGCGGCGGAGACAGAAACTGTTGTCACTGTCATTACCATGGTTTCCTATCAAAATATTTTGGGAGTGCCAATTGTTGCCATGATCCAAGAGCTATTGGAAAACGAGAGGAGAAGATCCTGTAGAATGTGCAGACGCTGGACTTTTATATGGCCAATTTCTGTGGTCGTTTTTTCATTCTGATGTTTATTAGCTGTTTGGTTTTTCCCACACTACAATCAACTGACCATGACTATTGTTTTCTAAATGAAACAATGGTATATTTGATCTGAAATAAATACAATGTGAACTTTAAGTTCTTAATGTCTAACAATATTAACAATACAACGTATAACAATATTAAATGTCTAAACTTAGTGGACGTAAACACAGAAAGCGGCAGCAGAGGAACAACCGTAATAGACTAGTAGCAAACACAGGGCAACAACTGCTAGAACTAATGATGGGACAGATGATACTGAGACTTCATCTTGTCAAAGTGAAGCCCAGCGACTCGAAGCTGGGAGTCGAAGCTTCCTTCAGTTATGTCATGTGATTGATGATGTCTGGCTCATTGTGGAGTGTGCGAGGTTTCCAATCCTGTCAGCTCTTCAAAACTTATAAAAGCAAGATGAAACCTTTGGGTGTCTCATCTTTTTGTTTTTTTTTTTGTGGTTCTAAAGATTCTCATATAGTTTGTATTACATACAACACCTCATTCCTTGTATTATGGGAAGTAGCTCTGAAAATGACAAGAGGTGATCCTCTGGTGTTCTGGAACATTTTGATTTGATGTGTCCCAATAAGGTGAATGAATATTCATATGTACACTGGGGCACAGTCATGATAGAACAGAAGATGACCTTCCCTAAACTGCTCCCACGAAGTTGGAAGCATAGAATTGTCTAAAATGTCTTGATATACATGCTTTGTTTTATTAGCTCCGATTACTGCTTTAAAAACACCTCCAAGTCTGAGGTCATGGTTCTCCAGCGGAAAAGGGTGGATGGCCCACTCAGGGTTGGGGATGAGCTACTGCCTCAAGCAGAGGAGATTAAGTATCTCGGGGTCTTGTTCATGAGTTACAGAAGAAGGGGGCAGGAGACTGACAGGCGGATCAGTGTAGCGTTGGCAGTTATGCACATGCTGTACCGTTCAATCATGGTAAAGAGAGAGCTAGTAAAGGCAAAACTATCGATTTACAGGTTGATCTACATTCCTACCATCACCATCACTATGCGCCTCAGACCCCACTCTGTTACTGTACAAGATCTGCCATTTAGTGGGTTCCTGCTGTTCATAAATGCGTCCACTTTGCAATAATACCACTTACTGTGGAACATCTAGCAGGGAAGAAATTTCACGAAATGACCTATTTCAATGGTGGCACCCTATGACGGTACCACGCCTGAAGTTCTTCAGAATAACTCATTCTTCCACAAATTTTTGTAAACCTGACTGCATGGCTACGTGCTTGAATTTATACACCTGTTGCAATGGAACTGAATGAAACACCTGAATTCAGTGAAGAGGTGTGTTCCAATACTTTTGTCAATATAGTTTGTTGGAAAGATGAATCATTCCCTGCTTATACACGGATGTAAAAACTGTGTGAGGACAATTGTGTGGACACTCTCATTTCAACCATTTCTGCCTATGAAGGACATAACCTGCAATGTACTGTGGTTGGTTTTTGCTATAGCATGTTTAAATCAATATATAAAAAAGATTGACATAGGTAAATTTGATGACTTGTGACTTGACATCAAAAATGATGTAAAGACTTGGACTTGACCTGGACTTAAGGGCAAATGACTTGAAACTTGATCTAGACTTGCAGTGTTTTAACTTGAGACTTGACTCAGACTCACCAAAGAATGACTTGTTCCCATTCCTGGTCTTTAGACAGTTGAATATCACTTTCAAAGACCAGTACAAATGCTGGGATTGTTACACAGCTAACCTGACCTTGTTTTTTTTTTTTTTGCTTTTAAGCTGTTTTTGTTTGGTGTGGTCAAGCAAAACTTACTCTGACATTTTGTTTTGTTTTTGGGAGCAAGTAGCATACTGCCCAACTGAGGGGGGAGAATGGTCATCTGTTTATTGGGGCCTAAAAAATCGGCCAGTGTAGGCTGAAGGTAAAGGAACAATAGCCCATTTGTAATGTCTGCATTTTACCAATTTATACTTAAATTGACATTTAAAGTAGCCCTCATCCTATACAAAGAATGTAATAATAAATCAACCAGTAGATGGGGCAATACACCTTGTTGTGTTTTTGGTAGTGCTACCACAGGGGTGCAAGCTGTGATTCTCACCTTTCAAGTATAGTACCAATAAAAAGTTTGGACACATCTACCCATAGAAAGGTTTATTTGTACTAATCTCTGCATTTTAGAATAATTATAAAGACATCAAAACTATAAATGACAAAACCATAATATATACAGAATTATGCACTGACCAAAAAATTATTAAACATTATTTTTGGGAGGGGAGGCAGCTCTGTGGGTTGGGACTCAGAAGGTTGTCGGTTCAAATCCCATGGTCAGCAGAGTGATCCCACCACAGGGCCCTTGATAAAGGCCCTTAATCCCAATTTCTCCAGGGACTGGCTGACCCTACTATCCCCTCTACACCAGTTCCATGAGGTGGCCTCCTGTGATGCTTCTCCAGCTGTCCTGAAGGAGATCCCACATATATGCTGAACACTCATTGGCCACTTTTCCTTCACTCTCTGGTCAAACTCCTCCAAAACCCTCTCTGTTGTGTCTAGGTCAGATAGCCAGGTCATGTGATGTGATACTCATTCACTCTCATTTGTATGCATCTTGGCTTGCCCAGTCCATTGGTGGCGTGATTTCTGGGGCATGCTGTGTGATCTTTTCCTGTCTTCCTAATTTTCCACCCCTGCATTAACACAGTGTGTTTCCCTTTTATCTTGTTTCCTTTCTGTGACTAGGATGATTCTGGAGAAAATGGGTCAGCTGGGGAAGGTGAGTCCCCAGCAGGCAAAAAGGCAAAAAGAATTCTAAGTATGTACACGTGAATTTAAATTGAAATTATAGCAGTTTTAATTGTGACAGTTAATAAAGATACTTATGCTGAAAATGATTTCCCCTGCCTTAGGACTGCAAACATCCAGGGTTAGGAGAGTGAGTGAGTGGGAAACCCGCTGCAGCATCACAGATGCAGTGTTAGGACAGAGGCATGCACCCCCCCATCCCCCCCCACCTGCCCTCGTCCTAATTGCTTTCACCCCTGAGACACGACAGGGCCGATTTCAGCAATGGATGACTAGAAGGAGGAGAACAGCCAGCCGGCACCAGCAAAGAAGAAGAGAGAGAGAGGGAATAAAATAATATAATGAAATATAATAAGTCTTACATGTGTGTGCAGCTGAGCAGGGGGTCCCTGGCGGTGCCATATTTACCTCTTGAGATGTCAGCAGGTAGAAGTATAAAGTTGTATAAAATGGATATACTCAAGTAAAGTACAAGTACCTCGAATTTATACTTAAGTACAGAGCAAATGTACCATATAAACTACAATAGGTACCGGTTGCTAACTAGGTAATGTTAGCATTACACAGCTTAACCAGTGTTTTTTTATGGCCATGCTTGTTTCTCAGCCTGAGGTACCAGCACTGGCAGTGACACATCAAAATAAAGAAACATGTAAATAAAATCACAATTTCTAGGTCCATTTCTTAAGTCCTTAAGAGCCCTTCCTGACTGTCAGGTATAATGGGTGAGTCCCAGAGAGAGGAGAAGAGCAGCACTTCGTGAGGTAACCGGGTAAAGCCGGTAACTGCTGATGGCACAAAAAGGAAATTATCTGTAGGCCACACCATCCCATTTCACAATGCTTTTGGTTTGACCTTCAAAGGGTGCAGACATAAAGGCAAAGTAGACCACGCCTTATGAAAGATGCAGCCTCTGAATAGGGACACAGCCAATAACTACAACTACTGCAACTATTCTTCTTCTACATTTTGTTTGTTGACCTCTGCTCTATGAAAGTCAGTGCTGCCACCTACTGGATATACTTAGTCAATTTCCTTGCACATATGCAGTTGACACATACGGACGCGTACCATCCACCAGACACCCGGATGACGAAATTTACATCGTGAACCGAAACGGCATGCAGAAAAGTGAAACATTAATTGGCCTTAGGGCACAGTTTCGGTCTGCCACTTCCACAACGACAGTCACGCTCCCCTCTCCTGATCCAGCTCGCCTGAGTTTTAACACTTGCCATTCATTTATATTTCATTACCTCAAACTTATAACCCAGTCAATTCCCACCACTCACCACAAGGAATTTTCTCAGTGAGCATTTACTGAGCACTTGAGTATCTCCCTGTTCTTTCCCGTGTTTGCATTCGCTTACATATTCTCTCGTCTGTATACAATTCCCGATCCCCTGCGTGATCCTTGGTCTCTCTCAGTGTGAGTGTTTCTCTCCACTTTCTCATATGCTCCTCATTTGGACTTCCGATCCCCAAGAACCTGGCATTGCAAGGGGGGCTGCTGGAGATTTTGGGCACCATGAATGTATATTGTATTGGACCCCCAAATACAAACCAATCCATTTATGCTGCAAATATCTTAGTGTCTCTGTCACTCAGGGTCCCTCTCTTTACGATGCCCCTGGCTGGTGCTGGTTACAGTCAGTCATAACGACAAAGCAAGAGCTCAAAGATCTTCCCACATCACTTACATCAGCAGTTTGGGACATTTTGTTTCCAAAAAAAATTACACTAACACTGGAAAGAGAGTACTTAGTAAGACCATGACTGTTTGTTGAAAAATATGAACAATAATATCCGTCAATTACTTATTCTGTGTCACAGAAAGAGAATTGAAGACCAAATATGCTAAAGATAGGGACTTTATTGAATAAGGGCACAGGCAGATAGAGCCTGAATCAGCAAGCTGGAGTCAGTGTCAGGGTCACTGGTCCAAGAGAGTCGAGAGACAGGGAGATCAATCCTGCGAGCACACGAGACACTGGAGGTGAGTACACAGCGGGAATCCGAGGGAAGTGGAGATCAGGATGGGCTGGAACTACACAGGGAGATGATGTTTCATCCTGGATGTATATTAATCGACTGACAGTAAAATACAATCTCTTGAATAACAATGCTCATTAAAAGTATTTGAATTTCTGCTCTCATTTGTTCTACATTATGTAATTTTGATAATGATCAAGACTCACCCAACCTCTTTAATATTTTCAGAAAGAGACACCACATCCTGTCCTTAGGTGATACATTACTAGAGTTCTTACGGTAGTGACGTTCAAACATCGCGCGACCACAGATGATTTGGTTCCGTCTGAAGTGCAAAAATGGCGGGGACGACGTCTGTAGCTGGTGAGGTATTCGTGGATGCCTTGCCGTATTTTGATCAGGGATATGATGCTGCTGGTGTTAGGGAAGCGGTGAGTATGATGTTTTATATATAGTGTCAAGGGGATACAGTAAAACCAGCAGCTTGTAAAAAAAAAAAAAGCTTGAAGCAGTACTAACATCCGCTAAGAACAAAGCATGTTTGTTGAAACGAATTTAACCTCGCATTGCCGAGTCGCAATGCTCCCTAACAAACAATTTAGCATTTCAAAATGTTTATGTCGCTCCCGATGTTTTTTATTTTTTATATAACAATCATGACCAACTAAAGAACGAGGAACCTAATAATGTTACATTCGTAGTGTTTATGTGTGGAACGTCAAGTGAAATGCTGCACTTTTTAAATCCAGGCTGCAGCTTTAGTGGAAGAGGAGACGCGCAGATATCGGCCAACGAAGAACTACTTGAGTTACTTGCCAACGCCTGATCTGACTGCTTTTGAGGTCTGTATAATAATGTCTCACGGTCTATGAATCTATGAATTAATGTTACATGGCGTGTTTCAAGACATTCACAGTGCTTTACATAAACTAATGTCGAGCCACTTCAACCACCACCACTGTGCAGCACCCACCTGGATGATACGATGGCAATCATTCTGTGCCAGTACGCTCACCACAGAGTAGCTAAGGTGGTGAAGAGGCAGGAGAGAATTAGATGTAGGATATAATTAGGAGGTCAGATTTGAATGTGCCACAGTGGGCAATTTAGCCAAATCTGCTAAAATATAAAGCAACAACACACAAAAGCGTGTTGATGGAGGCAGCCATGTTTTTTCCGAGATGTGATAGCTCGAACGGGAGATTGTCGGACGTGATGTCACTCACCTCGGAATTTCCGAGTTCTGAGAGACAATCGAGCGCAGGATGTGTTTCAGAGGCAGGCCTTTTGCATAACCAAACCACAAAGAAAGCATTTCAAGTCCCACCCCAAAGTACTAAGAAAGTACCCCTGTTGGGTTGGTAGTTTAGGTACTGGAACTTTTGTTACTGGTACTTGACTGGAAGTTAATGGAAAAGGGAAAGTACTGAAAATATCATACCAAAAGTACGGTATCTGGTGCCCAACATCTCTTACAGCAACACCCCAGCTTTCCGAGTACTAGCCAAGCCTCTCTTCCGAATACTAGCCAGGCCCAAACCTTGAGATAGATTACCTAGTCTGAAGTGCAGGTAGTATGGCTTCTGATCTAGTGCAATTGTTACCCCAACAACATATAAGGACATATAAACTCTGAAAAAATACGAATGTTACATCTGTAGTGATTATGAACATTACATATACTCCCATTTGAACTCTCACTTTCTATTTTCGTCCACTACTGATTAAGACATTTGGTTAATATAGTTATTGTGGAGAACCCCTGTTGATAGTTGATAAACCTGTTCTCTGCTGAATATTGGTGTTATCTCCTGGTACTCTGTATGCATGTGAGTAATGTTGATTTTTGTTTGATAGGTAAGAAATGGGCCCTTGATCCTGCCTAGGAGTTGCTGCTGAAAATGGTTGTTTGTAGTTATAACTTGCATGTACCTAAGGCACTGTACCTAAGGCACTGTACCTAAGGCACTGTACTTTATTATGGACAATCTGGTAGCATAAATATGGATGGTCAAAAACGGCCCCAGTCTTGTAAATTGGTAATAAACTAGGCCTTATGTTGTGCTGTGCTAGTTTTAATGTACTGTTGCTGCTTATTGAGCAAATTAATAGTGTAAGTAACCATGGATATCTCATTTATCTCCAGACAGAGATCATGCGGAATGAGTTTGAGAGGCTTGCTTCCAGGCAGCCGCTGGAGCTGTTGAGTATGAAGAGGTACTTTTGCTTGACTTCTTTGAGGTCTTGTATTTTGTTGCTGGGAACAGATATGAGATGCACACATTGTTTATCTGCTTGTTTTCCTACTAATTATGTGATTACTGTTCACTTTCCAATACTGGGTCTTCTGCAAGGGGTTCTGCAATAAAGAGATGGAAAATAGTTTCTAGAAGGGCCTATTGAATGTTTGTATTTGGGTATTTTCTTTAAACGCATCTCTCCATAGGTATGAGCTCCCTGCCCCGACATCCGGCCAGAAGAATGACATTGCTGCCTGGCAGGAGTGTGTGAACAACTCCATGGCCCAGCTAGAGCACCAAGCCGTACGCATTGAGAACCTGGAGCTGATGGCCCACTATGGCACCAATGCCTGGAAGGCTTACAATGAGTGAGGCTGGCTGGATGGGAGAGGGGTGGGGGGCTGTGGGGGGAGGGTGCTGGAGACCTTGGTGCAGGGCCACTCTTTTATGATATTGGTCATTCATCGCATTATTCTGTCCTCCTTAATTTGTGGTGAAAATGGGTTGTAAGAAATTGGATTTTGTGTTTAGTAAAATATGTATTCTGTCAGAAATGTGGTAAGCTTATGAATGTTACCTAAACAAAACGTGGTTCACATGATAATGTTTGAAAGGTTGTGATATGTGCTCCTGTGTTTGAATCTATGTTGTGTGTTAACAGCAATTTGGCCTCCATGATTGAACAAGCACAGAAGGAGCTTCAGAAATTTAGGTTGGTTTCGCTTATGCATGCTACATTATAATGTGGAATATATTCAGGAATACAGTAGGGTAGGAAGATTGTGGGATGGTTTAGTTTTAAAGTGTTGTTTTTTTCCCTTCTGTACAGAAAGCAGATTCAGGACATTAACTGGTTGCGAAAAAATGACCAGTTAGCTGGAGGTGCAAAGCTGAGAGAGCTGGAGTCCAAGTATGTACTGTTTATTATTGTTATTCATGTAATAATTTATTATTGTTCCAACTCTGCATGTTGGCACAACTGGTTTAGTTAGTATGCTTATTGTAGATGAATTGCAGTGTTAGTGAAAGGACAGACTAGAATTAGAATTTAGAATTGTGTGTAAGTGTGCATGTGTGGTCTCTTTATCCCTTTGTTTGACTACGCAGCTGGGTGTCTCTTGTGAGCAAGAACTATGAGATCGAGCGTGCCATCGTCCAGTTGGAGAATGATGTCGGGCAGCTACGACAGCAGCAGGGGGATGAGAACAAAGAGAACATTCGGCAAGATTTCTAGACTCAACCCTTAGAAAAGTGGAAATGAGATTTAAGATCAGAAGTCAGGATCTGGATACCTGGTGATAAGATGCATTTTTTTAATCTTTCTTGGTTTTCTGCAACATAGGCTAAGGGGTCATGTTAAGTAGAATTATTTGCTTAACGATCTGCCTTTGTAACTGCGAGCGTAGTTTTTGCACTACAGTGGCTGAAGAAGAAAATGTTCCATTATCGTCTTAGATCTACACATGAAGAACCACCTGAAATACAACATACCTGATAAATTAAGCTTTCATTTTCACTTGTGCAAATTACCCTTGTAGGTAGAAATGTGACTAATATAAAATTCCATAATGCATCTTATAGGAAGATCTAAAAAGTCTAGCCAATAATTGTGCATTGACATTTTCTTTTTCTTTTTTTTTTTTTTACAACAGTATGTGCTGAGTTTGTGAGAAAACATTGAAAAAACTGTGAATTCTGCAGTTATAGGCAATTTTTAACTGTATATAAACAATAAACTATTTTGCTTTTTGACCTACCATTTATTCTTTAGATTCTAAAAATCTTATTTGACAACACATAAATAGCACACAGCAACCTTTTAAAATTCCCTTTACTTCTCATAAACTGCCTGCAGCCACATTGCCTTCAGTGACATTCCACATTTCCTTGTGTTTGTACTGTGGGCATGCCCTGCTGAATGGTGGCTGTGTCTGACTAATTTCTCGCTTGCTTATTCGGTCACTGATTCTGTTGTTCAACCGGAGTCAACGATTCAAAATAGAGAGTCATAAATCAGACATCACTACTGAGTAGTTCAGCAATAGGCAATAGTAATGGCTGAAATTACTTTTTTTTTTGGGGAGGCTCAGTTTGTTTGATTCAGTTCACCTAAAAGACTTGTTCTGATTCGTTTACCAACTCATTCAGTGGCATGTCCGGTTTAAATAAAATAGACCAGAAACTCTTGAGGTCAGATAAAAACATTGTTCATCGGCAAGTTGGTCTAGTGAGACTCACAAAATGAGTGATTCTGATTGTGCTGAAAGTCTACTAGAGTTAATAGTTAAAAAAGAAACATTAGTAAACGAGCACATTCCAAGCCCTAGCAAATACTGTTTTCTGAGGATTTAGACTCAATATATTTAGACCCAATATAAATATATAAAGTCTAAAAGACATGTATTCTGCATGTTAATAAACAAAAGATGTGATACGTGGTTGTAGCGTGGTGGCATTTTTAATTAAAGGATTTTTATATTTTCAAATTTGCAAACAAAAAATGTCCTTTTATCACGTTAGAGGCTAGCTGTTCATTTACACTGATCAAACCACTGAGGTGAAGGGAATAACATTGATTATTGTGTTACATTAGCACTTGTCAAGGTAACAGTCAGTGCTTGAAGTTAATGTGTTGGAAGGATCTGAATGACTTTGACAAAGGCCAAATTGTGATGGCTAGATGACTGGGTCAGAGCATTTTGAAAAAGGCAGGTCTTGTGGGGTGTTTCTAACAGGCAGTAGTCAGTACATGCCAAAAGTGGTCCAAGGAAGGCCAACCAGGGAACTGGTAGCAGGATCATGGGTGTTCAAGGCTTATTGATGTGTGTGGGAAGCAAAGGCCAGCCAGTCTGGACTGATCCCAACAGAGGAGCTACTTCACAAGAAATTTCTGAAAAAGTTAGTGCTGGCTATGATAGAAGGTTGTCAGGACACACATTGCATCGCAGTTTGCTGTGTAGTCGTAGACCAGTCAGAGCACCCATGCTGACCCCTGTCCACTACCAAAAGCACCTTCAATGGGCATATGAGCATCAGAACTGGACCACAGAGCAATGGAAGAAGGTGGCCTGATTTGATGAGTCACATTTTCTGTTACATCATGTGGAAGGTCAGGTGCATGAGTGTCATTTACCTGGGGAAGAGGTGGCACCAGGATGCACTATGGGAAGAAGGCAAGTCGGTTGAGGCAGTGTGGTGCTCTGGGTAATGTTCTTCTGGGAAACCTTGGGTCCTGGCATTCATGTGGATGTTAATTTGATAAGAACCACCTATTTAAACATTGTTGCAGATTATGTATACCCCTTCATGCCAGTGGTATTCCCTGATAGCGGTGGCCTCATTCAGCAGGATAATCCACCTTGTCACACTGCAAAAAATGTTCAACAATAGTTTGAGAAACATGAAAAACAGGTCGAGGTGTTGAGTTGACCTCCAAATTCCCCAGATCTCAATCCGATTGAGCATCTGTGAGATGTGCTGGACAAACAAATCTGATCCATAGAGGCCTGATCTCGCAACTTACAGGACATTAAGGATCTGCTGCTAACGTCTTGGTGACAGATACCACAGATCACCTTCAAAGTCCTTGAGGAGTCCATAACTATGGGTCAGAGATGTTTTGGTGCCATGAGGTAGACCAGGGTTATTCAAATCACAGTCCTCGAGGTCCGAGCACTGTTGGTTTTCCAGCCTTCCTTTACCTGTGAGCCGGGTGTGAAGCCTCTGACCAATCAGAATCAGCAATTATTAAACTAACTACCTGGGAGAACTGAAAACACGGCCTGGATTGGAAACAAGGTCTAGATTTCAAGAGCCCTGAGGTAGACCAACACAATATTAATCATGTGAATTTAATGATATGTTTTAATGATCTGTGTATATTAAAAAAATTAAATCATGTTTAAGTGGTTGTTTTTCCATTTTAATTAGACCTGAAGTATATTTATATACATTCACCACACTCTGGGATTAACGAAAAAAAAAAAAAGATTTTAATAAACATTCAATGTTAATTAAAGGAATTGAACAAAATGCAGCCGCATGTGGTGCCCCCTCACCCGATTTTGTGAATCAGAGGTGAATAGTTCAGGTCCGAAAAGTAAAGATTCCAGATCAAGATACTGTTTCAACCAACAAGTTACGTATAAATAATCACAGTTCTGGATGGCTAAACTGTTTGGTTGAAACAAAATCATGGTGTGGATTTTTACTGTATGGACCTGAACTATCCACTTCTGCTTAGAATTGAACGTTCGATTCATTTAAACGAACAGTTCGATAGAATGGGTTTTGTAAATTAAACCGAACTTCCCAACACAAGACGTGACGGTGCCTTTAAGGGAGTCTGGCGTGACGTCGCCACGTCAGTCCCGTCGGGTTTTACTGGTACGTGGAGCGTCAAACGGTTCAAAGAGGAAGGAAGATGGCGGATAACAAAGGCGTAGAGGATATAGAGAGTCCCGCTGCCATGGAGCCAGCACCACAGAAAGAAGACAGTGGAGACTCCTCGGCGAAAGAGCAGGATGCAGTCATAGTTATAGAACCAAATACGAAGGACGAAGAGGATGGACATTCGCAGGGGAATACGTCTCAGGTGCCGACACCCACTAGCGCAGGCGGCGAAGGCAGCGGCAGCGGCAGCGCAGGGGCAGGAGGGGATGGCAGTAGTAGCAGCAGTCCAGCGGGGACCGCTAATGCTGAAACTAATGAGCCCCCGGCTACAGGAGAGACCGCTGGTACTGCCGGGATCTCGCCAGCTCCTACTACAGAGATGTCGCCCTCTCCACAAGCTCTAGCAGCGCCCCCCAACACTCCAGTAAACCTTCTAGATACGTGTGCCGTCTGTAAACAAAGTCTTCAGAATCGCGACTGTGAACCCAAACTCCTCCCGTGCCTCCACTCTTTCTGCCTTCGATGTATTCCTCAGCCCGAAAGGCAGATCAGCGTGCAAGTGCCCGGGCCCCACGGACAGGACACCCACATAGGTGAGTGGTGAGGTTGCCCCGCTTGGATGGTATGGTGGCTGAATGGTGCCGTAGCCGGCCGCTTCAGCTCTGTCTGGGGGTGAGGGTCGAAGCTCACCCACCCAATAGCTCGTTTCTTCTAGCACGATTGGGGGAAAAAATTGGTGACATCGACTTTTGTCCGGTATTAATATAATCGGCGATGGAAAATGCTAAATAAGTCGAGTAGTATTTGGCGAGGTTTGCATTGCTAGTAGTTTTAATCACGATCGTTGGATAGTTTAACATGATACTTCAGTGTGGTTTGGGCTAATAGGCACGACGGCAGCCTAGCTGTGATCTGTCCGTGTACATGTGGTCGCGACGGTTCCGATTAAATGCGTCAGTATAACAGAATCAATGACCAGTGTCGTGAATTGTCCGTAATGTATTGTGTATGATATTAGTTGTATACTATTTTAGCTCTTGTAATCCTACGTATTTGGCATGACCGCATAAATCAAGAGCTGGGTATGAAAAATTAGGATGCTTCACTATGGGAACTTAGGGGGTTGAAAGGTCCCTGTTTTGTTGCCTTGATTGTACAGACTGTTTGATCAGCTAATTGTCTTTAGGTCAGTATTTCAATAAATAGATTTCTGTAAACTTGGTGTCTGAATGTGCCGTACAATTCACCGGCATCCAGTCTATGGTTTACCCCAGCCTTGTGCCCTGTGTTGACTGGCATTTAAGCTCCAGGCTGCTTTGCAAGCATGATTAGGACAAGTGGTTGTAAGATGGATGGACTTCTGTAAACTGGCATTGTTATTGGAGTTGTGTAATTTAATTCATATTATTTGAATATTACTCCAGTCATATTATTTTGCTGTAATAACTGTTTTCATTTAGTCAAAATACATAGTCACCATGCTTGCAAATTATAAAAATATTCAGTCTCCTATAATCTATAACCCATCTGGCAGAAAATTTCCAGTTATTTATAATGAAAATTCAGTGCTGTAAATTTTTCTTATTTAAATGAATTAATCTGTGGTCAACAGCAATTACAGGCCATACGATTTACACTAACCATTATGCAGTAGTCACCAGCCCTGAATTCATACATACAATGAAGACAATCCTTGGAAAAGTGAACTTTCCTTCCACTGTCTTTGAAACTTATGATACTGCTTTTAGCCCGATACACTGGCTATACCAACAACGTTTGTTATAAAATTTAAAATGGAGGAAAATGGATGGTGAAAAGATTTTGTGAAAAAAAAAAACCCTCTTTAGTATGATGGGGGAGAAATATTGTGTTTGTGGGTGGAAAAAAAGGCTAATTGTGTACTGTATTACTTCAACCTGTGTCTTAGTGCTTAAACGATACATGATGCCTTTTTCCGGATATATAGTTGTAATTATTTTGAAGTAAAGACAAAAGCTTTATCAGTTGTCACTGATTTGTAATGTATAGTGTCCTCCTAGCATGAGTTTTCTCGGTGCCCTTTTTTTAAAAATATAACCTTATGTGTATCTCGTGTCAAACTTTAGAACTGATTGTGTGGTTCTGCTTTCAGTTGTAAGTTCCTATTTGCACTTTTACATTTAAGAGCAATGCTTCTGAATTGCAGGATGGCTACAATATGCACTGATGTGGATGCCTGTGGTGAATTTTTTTACATTATTTTGGAATAATAAAAGAATGACAATGTTATTGTGGTGATTTGCCAGATAAAGGATATGGAGCCAAAATCACATGTTTAATAAATCAGGTATACTGATTAGTGGAAGGTGGTCCATGGGATTTTAGTTCTTTACTTTTAGTTGGGAAAATTAACCAGCTGGTTAGTGACTAAGCTGCACTGGCAGAATTCATTTTAGGCTGTGGAAATGCAACAGATGCACAGTTTACATTTCATGCCTGATTATGAGATTTTTAGGCCAAGGCTGCAGCTACTCCAGCATGTTGTACCAAAATTCACTGAAAACGTCACTGAAAGTTTCACTTGAAAGAATGAGTGAGTGCGTGCGGGTCAGATGTGCCCAGATGTTAAATAGGGGTGTACCGATAGTCTTCTCATAATTTCGTTCAATTGATGATTTGGGGTTCAAGGCTCGATACACTCCTAGTATATTCAACATAATATGACTGAAAACAGATCAGTTCTTTTTCATTCCTGTTGTCAATCCATTTATTTTTTTCCATGTAGATTTTTCCTTAGTCTCCAAACTCCAGTGCAAAATTCAAAATTGGTCTCAAAGTAAAATTGACGTCATACCTATTGCAGCCTCTTATGTTAACATTAGTAATTAATATTGTATCACGGTGCATTCTTACACCCCTACAATGCATATAGTTATGTATTTGATTCATCATAAATATTGTGCCATGGTGCATTGTTACACCCTTACTGTTAAAAGCAAGGTTACCCTGAGTTCATTTTGGTGGTCATGGTTTGGCATCCTTTTGTTTTTTTAAAATAGCCTGCCAAAATAACACTGTGCGTTGCACTCTAATCATTTTAATGGTTCTATGGTGGATTTTTAAAATAAGTACCTCAAACATTGAAACTTGAGTTTAACATGGAAGGAGTTGCTGAATTTACATAAAAAAAAATTGCCATACAGCTTTAAAAAAAAAAACTCCTTTGTAGGGATGTGTGATATGTTGATTTATATTGATTTATATCGATATACCGGTATATGTCGGATGACGAAATAAAAACATCTATTGTTTCATATTACGTTCTGTCGTTTATTTTGTGGTGTCGCAAAATACACTGTTTTCGGCTGTAATTTTTCACCATTTTGATCATGATTTGCGATATTACACACCTCCACATGTGTGTTTAAGCTTTTATTGGACTTTATTATTTGTAACGCACAGAAGACAATCCACAAATATTTAACAATCCACAAATATGTATTTTTTTAATGAGTGTTTTGTAAAATCATATCCACAAAAATACAGAGAGATTTGTACACATGAAACGTGTTTTGCACATTTGTGGATCACGTCCTGTCTGTTTGTGGTTCACATTGTATTTGTGACTTCCCTTGATATTTATTTGTAGATTTTTCTCCAATTCGTACTGCAGCTGATCTGTAGAAACAAATCACAAAAATATTTCTACCCGTATATTTTTATTTGTGTTGTGTAAAATCATATACATAAAAATATGGAGCAATTTGTACACATGAAAAGGGACATTTGTGGATCACTTCCTGTCTATATGTGTATCATGTTACATTTGTGACTTCCCACTTATTTGTGCATTTTTGTCCAATTTGTACCAAGGCTGATTTGCATAAGAAATCCACAAATATGAGGTATAGTTATTAGCTACACCTGCAGGTGTAGAAGAAGGCTGAAATAAGAGTTGCTAGTTAAGCTCCGTGAAGCTGACCCCACTACAATCGGCACAAATCCAGTGTTTTAGTGCTGCATTTGTGCTGTATTGTGCTGCAAATATTAGGATTTGTGCTGCTTTCATTTTTAAGAAAATAGCAATTATCTTTTCATATGATAGCATCACCCAGACCACTACAACAGTGTACAGACATAAGCTAGGCTGGTTGTATAATTATATGGTGCGCATTGTCAAAATACATTCAGTGCCACAAAAAAGATTATTTTGATATTGACAATCAAGTAAAGTCTTGCTGTTTTTTGTCCATGCGAAGACAAACTCCAATTACATTTTGTTCACGAAAGCATAAAGGCTTCACTTTTCATTCATGCACAGAAATCAAAATTAACCTTTCAGTTTTTTGCACAGAGGTGTTATCAGTACCTTGCATTTTGAGGACAGAAGGCTGAATGTATCTGCTTTCATGAATAAAAAGTCATTTCATTCATCAACTAAATCTATTTGTGGACAAAATACATTTAATGAATTGAAGAGTCATTTTGTGGGAAAAAATACTTATGTTCTGTGTTTTTGGTTAAAGTGTTTATTCACTTTTTTTATATTTTAGTTGTTTACATATAATGCTGTAATTCAGACTTGTAGGCATGTTTGTTTTCTTGTTATATTTAATATATTTAAGTTGTGAGCCTTATTGCTGCTACAGTTGAAACTTGAAATTACAATGTGTTACATTTGGGACTTTATATAGCAATATTTTTTTTGGTCCTGTAATTTGTTTTTGAAAAGTGTTTTATACTACTTTTTTTTTTTTTTTTTTTTTACATTCGTAGTTAATCATTTGCCCAGAAGTTGTAAATAAAAGGAGAAAAATAATCACAAATGAATGAGTACCATTGAGTATATAATTGAGTATATAATTAAAATGCAAATAAGAAATGGTCCTTTTCGTGTTTTCATAATATACTGTACTGTATAAAAGTCTTAGGCAGTCGAAAGATTTTTTTTTTAAAAGCTATTTATCTGGGTAGTACGTGCATATTTGGTAAGAATAAAAAATACAGTTTAACATTAGAACATATACAAATTAAGAGTAATAAAAACTAGTAAAAATTTATTCATTTCAACAAAAAATGACTGATATCTTGTGGGCTTGATGGCTAGATGAACACCGTTCCAGTTCCCTAACCGCTCCTGAGGGGCACCCCAGCCATTCCATGTATATATTACATTTCACCACCAGCTCACTTAATTACTTAATTAGTTTAAAGTCAATGAGATATTGACTGGCTATGCAAGGTGTGTTAGTAGTTGAGTCAAAAAAATACATGGATGTGTTGTATGGTTGCTGGAAATTAGATCATTTTCTTTGGCTGCCTTTGACTTTTGCACAGTATTGTATAAGCTATTAGTTCATTAAATTTACCGAAAATGTACTATTTTGTGATATATATCGTCATCGGGATATGAATTTTTGGTCATTTTGCACAGCCCATATCATAGGTATAAACAAGGGGTGTCTCTCCCTTCATGATGATTCAGTACAAAAAACACAAGTGAGATGATTCTGTGGGTTTCAAGTCAGCAATGTAAGTATTTCTTTTACTGAATTTATTTTGCACTGCAAAAACCATGCAAAACTTTAGTTAACTGATCTTTACATGAAAACCC